ACAGAAACAAACGATAGATAGAACGAAAGATAAACAATGAACAATCGATAGATAAAACAATAGACAGAGATAGAAAAGAGATACTTTTTTTAGCTATTTATTATAAAAGCATTTCACTCATGAGGGATACAAAAGGCCCCACCTTGTGGAACAATCCTGATCAATTCATCTATCTGAAATCAATTCATCTACTAGCATCAGGTCAGATTTGCTGATACAGGCTCTTTCCTGTTGGAGGGTTTTTGTTTTTTTTTGCAAGGATGTTCAGATTAATGAAATGCACTGTGATGTTTCGGCATGGTGTCAGCTGGGACGACACACTCAGCAGGACGACAACAGATGGATGAGGTACCCTGCATGTGTGAGCGTGTGTGTTTCGGGCTTGATGTTTACACAGCCATGTGAATCTCGCTGGATGCTGTTGACTGCTGCAGCGGCTGTCACAACACTACTGTGTGTCAACTGATGGGAAAACAAGTTTCTTCAAATTTGGCAGACTATACATATTTAGACAGAAATATACTAGAAGTTATTTCAACTTAATTAGTGAATTTAAGGAGTATTTTATTTACATTTTCAAATGAATACTACACATAAATTGACGTAAATATCATACCAACATTTTGATGATTTGGCCTCTTATAATATACAACTTACTGAGATATGAAGTCACACTTAGAAAAAACACAATTGCAAGTAATGTTACAATTGTGAGATATAAAAAACACACCTTGAGAAAATTTGTTGCAATTGTGAGAAATAATGTTACAATTGTGATATAAAAATCGCAAAGTAAAAAGGTCGCAATTGCAAGAAATAATAATTATGAGATGTAAAATGAAACGTTGAGAAAAATAGTCACAATTGTGAAAATTGTTACAATTGTAAGATATAAAATCACACTTTGACAAGTGTCACAACTGTGAGAAATAATGTTATAATTGTGATATAAAACCACACTTTTGAGAAAAATTGTCTCAAATACGAGAATTATTGTTCCAATTTTAAAATATAAAAGCACTTTCAGAAAAGTCATAATTGTACGAAATAATGTAATACTTGTGATATAAAAAAAAAACACTTAAGAAAAATAGTCGCAATTGCGAGATATAAAGACAAAATTTTTTTTTTAAAAATAAATAAAACAAATAAAGGCACAATTGTGAGATAAAGTCGCAAACACAAGAAAAAGTCAAATTACCTTTGTCCCAAGCGGAAACTGGTATTTATTTATTTATTCGAGAAATGCAATAATGCAACATGTTAATTTTAAAAAGTAACTCCAACAATGTGTTTGATTCCATTAGAAATATTTATTTTATAACTGCAGATATGCAGATCATTACGGTGATAAAATAACAAAGACATCTATTTTCTAAAAATAAGTTATAACTATCTAAAGTCCCAGAGGCTTTAAAAAGCTATGATATGAGTCATATTCAAAGTCCAATGCTGTTAAAACAATTAAGCAGTGCCTGAATTAAAATTATGGGATGTCATTTCAATGACACTGATTTTATTAGCCATCAAATTCTTGAAAAAAAGTCCATATGTGTGCTTTCATTATGTGATTTGATTACGCTAACATACACAAATGTGAGCGAGCACACACACACACACACACACAGAGTTCATGCATAGCTAATTTAAACACGCTAATATCTAACAATCTTTGATCAACGGCACAAGTTCCAAGTTAGTGAACAGGTCACTGTGTGAGACAGTCATTGGGAATTGTAAGCAGGTCACTTTGCAGTACGTCAGAGTGTCTTGGGGACTGTCAGCAGTCGGTCGATCGGAACGGGCTGTCCCTCCACCCCCAACCGAGCCAGATGCTCTGCGTCGGTCTATGGGGATCAAGCTACAGATGGCTCGCCTCCATATTCATCAGGAGATGAGGGTTTGGTGAGCACCGTGTAACCCACTGGAAGTGGCCCACAGCTGGGTCAGCATGTCCCAGCGTGTCCCTCTAGATCTTCCTTCAGTCAGAAACATCTATCTCTGCAGTTTCACCTGCAGCTGACAGTCACACCTGTCAGCACTAATGCAAGAGCGGGTGTGAGCACCGATTCAAGCTATGAACCCACCACTAAGTGCATTTGCTAAATGCTTCATAAATGTGCTTAGTGTGATCAGTGTCAGTACACAGGGGTGTTTAAGTATCTGTTTACACCTGGATTTATCGAATAAAGGCAAAAAGACAATCTATCAATTTATTTATTGAATTTTTGCCAAAAAAAAAAAGTTTAGATGCTTCAGGTGCATTAAAAATAGGAAAAAAGTGTCTTAAAAAAACAAAACATATATACAGTGGGTACGGAAAGTATTCAGACCCCCTTAAATTTTTCACTCTTTGTTATATTGCAGCCATTTGCTAAAATCATTTAAGTTAATTTTTTTTACTCATAAATGTACACACAGCACTCCATATTGACAGAAAAACACAGAATTGTTGACATTTTTGCAGATTTATTAAAAAAGAAAAACTGAAATATCACATGGTCCTAAGTATTCAGACCCTTTGCTGTGACACTCATATATTTAACTCAGGTCCTGTCCATTTCTTCTATCAATTTTCACATGCTCCAAGTGCCTTGAAAACAATAAATAAAAACCATAGTAAAATAAACAAAATTAATAATTAGATACATATTACATATTTAGATGCTCCGGGTTCCTAAAAGAAAATAAATTTAAATTAAAAATCAAAATTGTATGATTTAAGTATTTCATTTAAAATGATTTTCACATGCTCTGAGTGCCTTAAAGACAACAAATACAAATCATAGAAAAATAACTAAACTAAAATAAATAAATATTACTTTGTATTGATTTATTTTTTGCAAAAAAAAAAAGAATTAGGATTAGAAAAAAGGTTTGGATCCTCAAAGTCAAATAAATAAATGTTTATTTATATTATTTTATTAATTTATATTTTTATTTATTGTATTTTTGCCTTGCATAAAAAGGTGTCTCATGAAAAATATAAATAATGATATTATCGGTTAAAAAAGTATAGCCTTGGTAATGTCATCACAAAAGAAAATGTGTTATCGTGTAGCGTCTGGACCAATCAAAAACACAATTTTTCATTTGATTTAACAAATCAGTTATTCATTAGATTAACAAATCGTCACAGTCCCCTCACCCAATAAACTGGGTGCCAGGATGTCTGCAACGACACCAGGCCCCCCTGGTCCCCATGGCAACCACGACCCCTCTGCTAGACCAGATCCATTTACGACCTAATGGCATGTTGAGAATTTTCCCTCGCACTACATTTTCCATAGGAAATCCAGAGTGCACAGTAAAAATTTACTCTTCTCTGATTAATTAATAGGAAAACCTTTCTTTGAATGAACACACATATCCTTCAGGTCATGGTGTATGTTGTCTTTGAGATTGTATACTGTTTTATGCAGGCTTATGATGGAAACACTCATGTTCACCATGTTTAGTATCTATGAATTTGCCTTCTGATGATCTAAACGAGCGTGTATATTATATGTTGGTACATAGGCAATATATTAGTGTCCTGAGAATCTTTAGTAATTTCGATTCAAGTTCCATTTGCGAAGTACCATGCCCTCACACAAAGGGTAATAAAAACTCCCCCAGTATCTCAAAACTCCCACTTGGGACGTCAGCCTTTCTCATTGGACAAGCCCATTTTGAGAGGCGGGAATCTTCCGAGACATTAAAAGCCCCACACTAGGGACCCGCCCAGAGTCGGTGGTTCGGTTACATTCTAAGATGAAGACATGAGCTAGAACGCTTCTGCAACCCCCTCGTGCCAGGCTTCGGCCTTGACTTTTCCATTCAACAAGTTTCTCTGACTCAAACTGGTTCTTTTTCATCAACCAACATCAGCAAAGATCAACTGGGACCTTCAGACTGCATCAAGCCTTTCTTTCAGACAGACGAGAAGTGCAAGTATTCAAACTTAGTCTTATTAATTGATACATTAGGTATCATTTGCACCTTTTTACAAAGGTGTGTTTGAACTAAGAATCTGATGTCTCCTTCAGGCTGTAGATCTGCTGAATATGCAAATGGTTCCATAACTTCATATTCTTATTTTCTCTTCTCTCTACTGCGTTAAGCTTTAACCCTTTCCTATACCAACTGTATGTGTGTGTGTGTGTATGTGTATGTTGGACCAGTTTAAGTGTTTATGTAGCATGTTAGACTAGTTTAAGTGTTTATGTAGTTAATAAAGTCTTATTTGTATCACACTTGACGTTGTTCATTGTTTGCTCATAACTGGAGTCACTTAATCATGCAGATTTATGCTACAAGCTCTTTGTAGAATTGTACAGTAAGAAAGTTATTTCCCCTAACCAGGAAATTAACGTTCTTAGAATTGACAGACAGTTGACCCTGAGAGGTCAAGTAAATATCTACAGCGGATCTAAATATGTATAATTAATTATAACTAGTTATGATTAATTATTCATATTTCCCCATTAGCTGATTCGCTACAATCATGGGCAAGGTAATATAGAATATTATGAAAACAAAAATGTTTTAAATAATGTACACTGACAAATCAAACAATAAAACATGGGTAATATATAAGTAAAAAGGTTACGCTTTGATTTCATGTTATGCCTTTGAAGCAGCTACCAAAAAAAAAAAATCCATCTCTTCTCAATCCATATATGCTCTCCTAGTTCTTTTAACTTTTTGTCTTCTGGCATAACGTGTGCTTCAGGTAGTGAGTCAAGCACTGTCATCCAATCTAACAGTGTCCTCCCCACATACATCCACCCACCCTGAAGCTCCTCAACTCCTCCTCTGACAGGAGGTGTCAAAGCTCAAATGCTCCATGTGCCTTGAAGATCTGCCAGACTGTACGAGCACACACACTCATGAACGCACACACACACACTTTCACTGCTGAATACAAACCCAAAGCAGCATCAGACGTTCAGTTCACAGGTGCGTCGACACACAAGAGGGTAAATCTGACTCATTGCGGGTTTTAGTGTCAGACTTACGCAGCTGGTGCAGATGTTTCCAGGCTCTGGAAGTGGGGCAGGCTGTGATCGTGACTAAGGAGCAGGAGTTTCCCGCCAGCGTATCGCAGAGGTTTTGTTGCCTGAAGAAAACTTTCCGTGGGTCTACAGACTTCTCCAGCATCTTCAAATGGGTCTAGAGAATATTGAAAATCGTAAATACATTTGCTTTAGTCTTTAGCCATTATGAGCAATGATGCACCGAAATTTTGGTAACCAATAAAACTGTATATAGTTTTGGAGGGCCGAAATCATTGACCAAAATGTTAATGTTTTATTAGCGATGTTTAATTAATGTGAATAAGCTACAACAGGTAAACATGTCAGCTGTGTGGATGCTATGCCTGATTTAAAGGGGTCATATGATGTTGCTAAAAAGAACATTATTTTGTGTATTTGGTGTAATGCAATGTGTTTATGCGGTTCAAGGTTCAAAAAACACATTATTTTCCACATACTGTACATTATTGTTTCTCCTCTATGTCCAGCCTTTCTGAAACGCGTCGATTTTTACAAAGCTCATCGGTCTGAAAAGCGAGGTGTGCTCTGACTGGCCAGCTATCCAGTGCATTGTGATTGGCTGAATACCTCAAGCGTGTGACAGAAATGTTACGTCCCTTACCATACTGTGTTTCCATCATACAGTCTATGGTTTCCATGTGTCCGGTGCGACGAGACAAAGCCAATAAAACCCATTACAAACGAGGCATTTGTTGCATCCAGTGGGGACATAATTACTGATTGTAATGACTTATACTGTGTTTTTACGCTTTGCGTTGCATATTGCGCCACATAAACATAAAACCATATCTGCATTTGTTATCTGAGAAATGACAAACAATAAGCGCTTCTCTACACTGCTCAAACTCGAGTTTGAATCATTAGTGGCAATTTTTTTAAATATAAAAAACTTACTTACAAGCTGTGAGTCAGAAGCGCCAGACTGTCCTTGCAAAGTTGGAACTGCCCCACTTTATAGAAACATTATGTCCTCTTTTGGAAGGCCAAACAAAGTAGTCTCGTTTTCACAACGAAACACACAGCTGTTTGAGTGAGCGGCACCCGGCGGATTCGACAAAGGAGACTTGCGGCAACCACATGTGACGACCCCGTGCTGGACTCCACTTCGTCCACGGTGAAAGCCGATCTGGCGATTGACAGCGCAAAGTTGATGTTTTTCCTCATCGACCAACACGGATCAGCTCTAGGCATGACAAAGATGATATCGTCCTCTTTTGGAAGGCCAAACAAAGTAGTTTCGCTTTCACAATGAAACACACAGCATATTCACAACATGGCGGCGGCGGAAACAATACTACAGCTAGAATAAAAGTTACGCCTTCTTTCTTTGCGTGAACATTTGGGCGGCGTTATTCAAATCTTCCCACATAGTGAGGTAGATATGTGGGGCGTGTTAGAACGAGCCGTTTTAGGTAGGCATGGCTGACTCTTAACTTTTATAAAGAATATCTTTTTGGATTTGAGACTTTAGTCTTTGCAACTTTACAGATCTTCTTTATGCACCAAGAGCTTGTAACACTCCAAAGAGAAAGGAAAAATTGAAATCGCATCATATGACCCCTTTAACAATATGAATTTCTTAGTTTTAATCAGTCTTCATTTTGATGAACCAAGATCGTTTAGTCTGTTTTCAGTTGATGTATGAACAACGCGACCCTACCATCCAATAACTGCATTTTGCTATGCTACTTTCAAATATGAAACAGTCAATTCATTATATTTCACTTAACCTAGTGCCTTAACATATCAACACATCATATTAGCATATCAATTCATCACCTAAAAATCTTGATAGTATTGATTCTGGAGATAAGTGTGACATCCTGGCCCTAATATTAATACAAAGTGGGTCATGTCAAGCACCTGAAGGGTGGTGTGGGTATAAGGGTAGTGGTAGGCTAAGTAGCACACGTCATCTTCATGATGAAAGGTCACCCTGAAGGTCAGTGTGTAAAAAGAACTTTTTTGACCTCTTCTAGAGCAGAAATGATTTCTGTGGAAGTCAAAACCACAATTAGATGCTATACATGCAATATCCTGAATAAAGAATAGACTGCATAGAGAAAAAGTACAGTAAAGTGAGGCAAAGTGAAATAATGTGAGGTTAAATGTAAAGACCTGAAATTAAATAAAGGAAGCGCAATACCTGTAATAGCAGATCTCAGAGCCTGTTCGCACCCAGTGTGGTCTGCCCTCCAGCGCCTCCCTCACAGAATACAGCACAGGCTGCATGCCTGAAACATCCCACAATACAGTTATGAACCAAGTCAAACATTCAGTCATTTAAAGGTCATTCTGTAATTGCTAAACATACAGGTTGTTAGCTTTGGCACAATATCAATCACCAACACCAATAGAGTGTATGATTTTAGTATGGCAATGCCAAATTGCTTATAAAATATCATTTTGAGGATTTTTGGAAAGTTTCCGAAAACTTACCGGAAATGTTCCACCCCTTTGCAACCCTAGCAAGGATGCATTAAATTGATCAAAATTGACAGTAAAGACATTTATTATTATATTACAAAAGATTTCTATTTCAAATAAATGCTGTTCATATTTGAAACCATTAAAAAGAAAGTGTTTCTTGAGCACCAAATCAGCACATTAAAAATCAGCATAAGATTTCAGAAGGATCATGTGATGCTGAAGACTGGAGTAACGGCTGCTGAAAATTCAGCTTTGCCATCACAGGAATAAATGACATTTTAAAATACAATAAAATACAAAACATTTGTTTGAAATTGGAATCAAATTTCCCAATATTACAGTTTTTCCTATATTTTTGATCAAATAAATGCAGCCTTGCTTATTGAGGGTAAGAGACTTCTTTCAATGTTTCGCTTGGTGGCAATAATGTTAAAAAACAAAACGGTATCAATTTATGAGAAGCAATGTTGATATAGGTGTATTTTTTTTACCCCGTTGACAAATTGATTTTATTCATTTTACACAAAGTGACTAAGTTCAACAACATGTATAAGGAAAGCTAAAATCCCTCAAACTCTTTATCAAGCTTGCAAATAAATAAATAAACAATAAAAAATGTTCTTTATCTAAAATGTCTAAATCTTTAGCTTTCAATGAAAAAGTAGGACCTTCCTTTCTTAAAACCAATAAGATGAAGACTGCATTTCTCTAAAACACTAACACTGGTAGACAGGCTTCCCTGAAATGCATTCACTCAAAGTAGAAGTTTTACTCAAACTCAAATAAGGTCAACAGTAAAGGACATCTCAATTAATATAAAGACATAAAACACTGACTTCAGGGCAGCACGAGTCTCTTATAATGCCCTGCTGCACACCAAAATGAGGAAAAGGCAGTCAAGGGCCATTGGAAACTCTTTATCGGGGGAGGAAGTCAGAAATGCGGGAGCACTGTATTTTTCTGGGATATACGGCTGGTGTCAGATTTAAGAGCTGCTCGGGCCCAAACACATTATTTACACAAGCAGAACATTTTCCTGGATCACCATGGGGTGATCTGAGGTGATTATGTACCACAAAAATACAGAACAAGTTATGAACCAAAAACGTAACACACAAATTTGGATTAAAGTGTACAAAAATACACATTTAAATCATTTGTTGAGTTATTTTAGTATTTTAAAGATACTATTATAGTTTTTTTATTCGTTTTTAACGGATTTTTCATTTCAATTTTAGTTAAAGTTTTAGTAATTTTGTTGCGTTTTTTTTATTAGTTATTGTGTTTTTGTCATTTTCATTAGTTATCATTTTATTTTTTTAACTGTCTATATAGTTTTAATTATATTTTTTAACTATGTCTATATAGTAAAGTATGTCTTTATTTATACATTTTTATTTCAGTTTTAGATTAAGTTGTGTGTATATATATATATATATATATATATATATATTATTCAAGGTAATGTTTATTACAAGTAAAAAAAACAAAAACCTTTTTTTCTTTTCCTGGAACAATATATGCTGATCCAAGAACAGGATATCCTACTTGTATAAATCCCATGGCTTCATAGTAGTTGCTACTGTATGGCTTACCATAGTTATACTGGCTGTTTCCCTTCTCACAATTGATAATGTTGAAACGATAAGGCACGCCGGCCACCATGCCGCTGACTTCAAAATAGAACCACTGACAGTGTGCAGAGGAGTTGACATCAGCATTGAGAATCAAATCATATTCATGACTAAGAGAGAGTGCAAAAGAGAGACAGGAGAAAATCAGACAAAGTGGGTGTAAGAGAGAATAGGAGAGAAGTAATGAGAGCGAGAGAGAGAGAGAGAGAGAGAGACAGAGAGAGAGAGAGAGAGACTGAGAAGCGTGTTACAAAAATGACAGAGAAAAATCTCTCACTCATCCCTATCTGTTGTTACGCCGCCACATTTCATTTGGAAAAATATAACGTCGGCTCTTTTATTTAAGTGCATCGGAAGTGCTCTGTAGACAGAGTTTTTGATTTGATCTTGCATGCATTGACGAGACAAGCTTGCTGAAAGAGTGGAAACATAAGAAGGAGAGAGAGAGAGAGAGAGCGAGAGAGAGAGTATGATTGTGAATGCACTACAAATGAGGACCAAGGGCACTCAGCAAACTGTCTGCAGTACATGTTTGTGTGTGTGCGCTTGTGTACGTGTGCTGTATTGCAATGCAGTCTCACCTGCGGACTTGAATGGCTTTACGCAGGTTTCCACTCTCAAATTTGGAGAAGAATTGAAGGGAACTGGGACACATATCGGAGGAACACTGTGGACTGAGAAGAGAAGAGAAGAGAAGAGAAGAGAAGAGAAGAGAAGAGAAGAGAAGAGAAGAGAAGAGAAGAGAAGAGAAGAGAAGAGAAGAGAAGAGAAGAGAAGAGAAGAGAAGAGAAGAGAAGAGAAGAGAAGAGAAGAAGAAAGACAGAATGAAAAAAGAGAAGGAAAAAAGGGAGGAAGAAAAGGAGAAAAACAGGAATAAGTAACAGATTGAATTTAAAAAGGAAAGACAGGAAGGAAGGGAAAGAGAAGTGAAAGATTAATGAAAGACAAAATGAATATAGGAAGGAAGGAAAATAAGAAAAGAAAGAAATAACCACAATTCTTGCTAATTCATTCATTCTGCACCGTTTGCGTCAATAAATTCCAGTCACACTGCAAATGACACAGAAGATGATTGCAGGAAACTGTTCAAATGATTGAGGCACACTGTTCTGTCTCGGAACTATATGACCAAAACCAAATAAGATTGTTCCTAGAAAGGTACCTGTTCTACCTCAATTACCCTTTTCAAGGTATTTGAAAGTAATTGTTGTAATGGCTTTTAAAAATAACTTCAATCCAGCATGCCTGTGAAAGATCCATCAGAGGCACTTAATGAATTGAATGTATCAGTGTACCATCTAGATCAGGGCTGCCCAAACTCGGTCCTGGAGGGCCGGTGTCCTGAAGAGCTTAAAGGCAGGTGTGTTGAGGCAAGTTGGAGCTAAACTCTGCAGGACACCGGCCCTCAAGGACCGAGTTTGGGCAGCCCTGATCTAGATGGTTCCTATGCCACTGACGTGATGATCTAATGAAAATGCTTTATCAGAAAAAAATAGCAGTGTTACCTGGGATCATCCATGTCAAAAACAACCTTGTTGATGATGTCCTCTGGACAGATGAGACGCTGGATGTCTTCGAAAACTTTCTTTCTGGAACATTGGAAAATAAACAAATAAATAAAACCATCAGTGAACCACAGCTTTGGTTTCCAAAAGTAGAACTCAATTTATAGATTAAAAAAGATTGAATCAATATTTTTATTTTAATATATTTTTTTAAAAGTCTGGGTATATGCAGTACATTTCATGTCAATGTCACTTGATTTGACTTGACTTATTGCACAATTAAAACACACGTATCAATCAATGTGCTTTAATTTTTGAAACAACATACATCACACCACTGTAAAACACAAAACAGTCAATGGTTAATAGAGCTGGGTAAAAAAGAAAAATCAATTTCTCGATTTTAATCGATTCTCATTTTTTACAAAACTATATCGACTCTTAAATCCCAACAATCGATTACTCCAACTCTAATCAAACACACCAGAACCAGCTAATCAAGGTCTTACTAGGTATACCTGAAACTTCCAGGCAGGTGTGTTGAAGCAAGTTGGAGCTAAACTCTGCAGGACACCGGCATTAGAGTTTGGTGACCCCTGTTTTACAGCATTAATTGAGAGATTTTTTTGTCTTTGAGAAAATTTGCCATTTACATTACCTGATATATATCCAAAATAAGCCATATCAAATTGAGTGGCAGCTCTAATATAATTTGGCAAATGATCCCAAAGTTTAGGTGCTGCTACAGCAAACGCACAATCCCCTCTTTGATTTTATCTAGAACTTGACATTTTAAATAGCTTTTGGCTAGTAAATTTCAGTATTCTTCCAGATTGATACTCAGTCAGGAGATCCGAAAGATTGGAGCGGTGAGAGATCATTCAACGATTAATACACTAATAAAATCAATTCTATAACTTACAGAAAGCCAATGAAGTGAGACTAAGATGGGGGTGATATGTTCCTGGTTTTCTTTATACCCATCAACAGTCTAACTGTTGCATTTTGATCGAGAGATGGATGATTGACTAATTCCTTTATAAAGCGAATTACAATAGTCAAGTCTTGAGGAGATCAAAGCATGTATTGCATGTATGAGTTTCATACATTTCATGTACATAAATTAAAAACAATGTGTATAAGTGTCAGGATTATGGACTCATTGTGTTGTGTTTCCCTCCACATGTGTTCCGTGTCCCCGTTAATTAGTTATTCCATGCACCTGTGTTTCCCCAATTATCCTGTGTTTATAAGCCATAGTCCATTCAGTTCATATTTGTCGGAGATTATACGTCAACCCTAGTGTTTCCTGTGCTCCTGTCTGCCCCGTGTATTTCCTTGGATGTTTGGATTAAAAGATTATTGTTTTCGTGTACTCCTGGTCTCCTCGCTCCTCGCTCCTCGCTATAGGCAGAGTGTGACAATAAGTATGCATATTTTTGCATACATAGTGTCAATTTCATTAAAAGAAAGGTATGACAAAAAATACTTGTTGACAACCTTTCTTCCATGAGTAAGACGAAACAACACTGGCATTAACTGTGACTGAATCAACATGCAATATCGCTGACAAAAAAGACAAGACTAAAATGCAGTTAAAAAAAAAACTCTTTATATTTACTTAAAAAAAATTGAATTAATATTGCAAATTTAGGAATTAGTTTTAGCTACTGCGAGAAGTTTTTGAATTTTTCATAATTTAAGTTTTTCATAACGTAAAGAGTATGTTCATTTATATCATACTTTAATAAATCAGAAAACTGGATTAGGTAAAGTAAACCATGTATATGAGTCATAAATGAAAGAATAAAATTGGTCCATATGTATTGCATGCTATATTGCTAAATTATCATGTTAAAATGTTAACAAATCTTGTTAGATTTTTGAATGATTCAAATCTTTTCAATTGATTCAATTCACAAGGCTGGCCTCAACAATTTAGCCATGAATTTATTTATTTTTTATTTATTGGTTTATTTAACAGGGACCATGCACATTCATGAACATTGTTGTATAAATATACACCATATAAATATGCCAGAATTAGTAACAATAACTACTTTTCATCTGCAGTCCCCAGAATCTAGTTGATCCAACAATTTCACAATGGTTAACGTGTCGTAAGTCGTAATAACGACTTAAATTCACACAAACCTAGTTGTATCATGTCGGAGCTCAACAGCCTCATTGTTCATTCACATTCATTATATCAAAAATATTAGTGACAATATTCTTGAAACAGTTCTCATCTTTGGGTGAACTACCATTTTAAAGTTTAACTATAGTAGCTAGCTTTATTACCTTTATTGTTTGTGGCAGTATATTTGTCTTGCCTGCAGAGGGAGCTCTTGCCGTAAACACTGTGCGCATAGCATATATAACCAAGGGTGTGACAGTCGTATTAATAGATATTACTTTAACAAATGACTAATAAGCAAAGCTATCAGCTATTCCAGTGTTACACGTATCTAGCGGTCTGGCAGACGTCTACCTAAAGTGCTGATAATGGCGGGTCGTTCTCAACTCTGTTTGGATGATGCCATTTCCAAATCAAACCTATGGTGCCTCATCTTTTTTGCACTGTATGAAGCTAACAGGCTAATTTTCTTGGTTGTTTGTGTGCATTATTTCTTTGTCACAGATAAACAACAATAATGAGGCCTTTCTCCTGATGCAAATAAGCACAATGCAAAATGCAGGGGGGAAAAACAATCTGTGTGGATGCTCCAATTCCGAGAGCGAATTTCAGATGATAATGGGGTTGAATGAATGAGCAAAAATAAAGTCAACAGTCCGCCGTGGCTGGCAATAAACCAGGAGCACTCTCATCAAAACGTTTACTTCATGGAAAGAGCTATAAAACAATAAGACATAAACAAGCCTTCTGTCCTTCATTAATGTTAAATTCTGAGCATAGAACATCACAAAGGGTAAGGGGAAAAAAATTAGGATGAACCATTTTCCTGCAAATGTTATCAAAATGATGTGTCAGACATACTGTATGTTTTAAAGATTAACTTTTTAAAATGACCATTTTTGGATGTCAAATGCAAATGTTTCAGACTTATCTGAAGTCAATGTTGGAGTAGGACGCAATATGTGGAATTAAAACGGTCTTTTTTTTCTCACTGGCTGTCTGACACTTTCTTTTTAAAACTCCAAAAGTGACTATTTTTGAGTTAAAATGACACCAATAGAACCCATATAAACTTATCTTACCCTTGAGCAAACACAATAAACTACAGAAATTACTGAAATAAATGTCTATTTCCTTTAATCTCTCCTTTGCACATTGAAGAAAGTTTTCAGCAAAAACAAGTTTTCCGAAGGGGCCTACCATAATGAGATATAGATTTAAGGGCTTTTCCTCAGTAGAATAGAGTCTTTGGGTGTCTTTAGAGCAAAGCAACCAGTGAAAGCAGAACGACTCACTTAAGGCAAGAGAGTTTAGCTCGGAGAGGAATATTTTAATGGATTTCATTTGTACTTACAGTGAGTTTAATGAATCTGTGCCATCATTTGCATATGACAATGTGTAAGTAAGGATGGAGAACAGGCCTTAAATTGCATCCACGTGATCTGATTTAGAGACAATTCAGCTTATAAATGAAGTCTAATAACTGCATTGTTTTTTTTTTCTGGTAATCTCAGCATGCAAGTGCAATACATGCAGCTAAAAAGGTTGGGAGCTGCTGCTGTACAGAACACAGAATTTGTGCAAAACCCAAGACACAAAGTAAAGTACAAATTAAGGCATCTTTCGGGAGGTTTTGAAAGCGTCTTTATGGAATCAAACAGCTTTTAGTTATTTTTCCTTGTTGCCGTCTGTAATGTCACAGTTTTTACGAGCAACAAAACACCAAAGTAATTCTGCTCCGCCATTCCCCAGATATGTCTCTCAAAGTGAATGTCTCTTTACTTGAAAAACTTAAAAAAGCTAAACTTGAGCAACTTGTCTCCTCAGTCCCCAGACGTTTGCAGACTGTTATAAAAAGAAGAGGGGATGCCACACAGTGGTAAACATGGCCTTGTCCCAACTTTTTTGAGATGTGTTGATGCCATGAAATTTAAAATCAACTTATTTTTCCCTTAAAATGATACATTTTCTCAGTTTAAACATTTGATATGTCATCTATGTTGTATTCTGAATAAAATATTGAAATTTGAAACTTCCACATCATTGCATTCTGTTTTTATTCACAATTTGTACAGTATCCCAACTTGTTTGGAATCGGGTTTGTATATTCTAGTGACAATAGCACTCCAACCGTTTCACCGTTTGTATCACTCTGCTTGCGGTATTTCTCACAGTGAGTGTCACACCCAAATCCACTATAATTTTATAAATAATGCTTATATTGTGTCATGGAATGTAGTTTAAGAGTTTTTTAGGCAAGAATGTAGTTGTTTAGACTTGAAATATGTGGTTTGACATTTTTGGAGATGTGAGCTCCAGGGCGTCAGCGGCCGTTCAGTACTCATGAACCTGCCGAGAGCAGCCTCACCTCTAATTTGCTGCTGGCTCTGATGTCTCTATAGTGGTTAAACATGAGATATAATTATTTTTTGAGTAAATCTAATGGGCAGTCTTTGGTCTCAATCTATTATTTGTTCCAGAGCAAACAGTTTTGGCTGAGGGCAAAATCTCATCACATTATATTGTATCTAACTAATACTGTATATCACAGCGCTGCCTATGTACTTTTGACTGAATTGGCTAGCAACATTTATGATGACTGTAGTTGTTGTTTATTAAATATTATTAGTCAATGAATACTATTTTATATAGATAATAGTAGTATTTTCATAATAGTATTTAGTATTGAGAAACTGTGTGTGTGTGTGTGTGTGTGTGTGTGTGTGATGGTCATTTTAGTTACATTGTTCCACCATTAGATGGCGACAAGAGACTTTTATGAGTGAGTCAGCAGTAAAGATTTTTATATTGAATTATATTGTATCTAACTAATACTGTATATCACAGCGCTGCCTATGTACTTTTGACTGAATTGGCTAGCAACATTTATGATGACTGTAGTTGTTGTTTATTAAATATTATTAGTCAATGAATACTATTTTATATAGATAATAGTAGTATTTTCATAATAGTATTTAGTATTGAGAAACTGTGTGTGTGTGTGTGTGTGTGTGTGTGTGTGATTGCTGGATCAGATGCAGTGTTCCACCATTAGATGGCGACAAGAGACTTTTATGAGTGAGTCAGCAGTAAAGATTTTTATATTGAAAGAGACTGAAACAGGGTTGTAAATAAGGAAGCTATTTTTACTTTAAACAACAGCTTGTAAGAAGCAGCCAACAAATGCACTGAGCAGCGCTGTCATTAGAAATCCCCCTTAACAGATGAAAGGACAGTACGGCAAAGATATCGCTTTCCTCAGCGGACATTAAGACTAATGTTTTATTGTGAATATGAGATTGAGCTGAAGAATGAATGCTGGATCAGATGCAGGTAATCACACTCCTCGGTCCAGCTCTCTCTCATAATACTCTACAATGAGCTTTTACTACAGTAATACAATGAGCTTTCAATGAAGCAACTCGATGTTCCTTCGTTACCAGTTCTAAAGTGGTGTTTTCGAATTAGTAACGGAGTTTTGAGCTCAGCTGTTAAACTGTCAAACTGAGATTTGAATCTGTGGCGGAAAGAATTAGTTTGCACAAAAGAGAGTTTTTAAAGACAATCGGTTGTTGTCTTTTTTTATTTACACACTTGTGGCGTTAACTGTTAGCCATATAAATGCAATATCTCACTCATAATACTGATATATGCAATATGGCTATATATCAGCACGCTATGATTACCTATGGCTGAATCACAGCTGTGCTGATATACAGCCATACCACACTGTTATGAGTGTGATATTGCTCATATATATACACACAAACACAAAATTGACTTTTGCTACCTGTCCAAAGCGTCCAAAATAAATAAATAAATATATAAATTAATCAATTCTAAACTAAACTAAATATTGAAACTGTATGGTCAATTGTACTGCACTGTAAATACAGTAAACTGTATTTAATACCGCACAGTAATGCTTGTGAGGCCTTGACTAAGGAACTGCGGCGGAACAAAACAATCATGTTGAGTCTTGAGCTTAGACTCAGTAAAGAAACGAAGGTATGTTGGTGTCATGCTGAATGAAATGCACATCTAATTTTCAACTCCTGGCTGTCCTGTACAGTATCACACAAAGAGTTGCAGATCAAAGGTAAAACATTTTTTTCCCGAGGCGAGTCCTCAGGGGAAGAGACCCTTCCGTTCCCCTCCCTTTGAGAGCGCAAGCTCCGTGCCAATCTCACTCTCTAGGGCATATGTTTCACATCTCAACCCTTTATCTAGCCTGCAATATTTTTGACAGCTCTGCAGTTTTACCCGTGTTCTCTTCTACAGAATCCTAGCGTGATGCTATGAATTAAACCCTGTTTAATCAGGGCCTTTGTTTTGGCCCGAAGATTACAGGTGCAGCATCGTTGTCATGCAAGATTAATAGCGGAACTGATTGGCATGAATGTCCTGCTGTAAATTATTTTCATCTTGGTATTTTGCACAGCATGCATAATGCAGCGATTAATTACAACCCCTGTGTCCAATCCAGTCACAGCATCTCCAGATCACAGTGGCATTTAATGATAATGGGAGAAAACATCAAAGACACATACAGTGAAGGGGGGCTAGGATGGACAGTTTGCTTCCATGGTATTGAGCTGAAACCAAAAGAAAACAATGAAAAATTGCATAATGAACATTCAGATTGATGCATTATTATAATCAATTACAGGTTTTTCGATTTTGATTGTTTTACACCAGGGCTAGCGATTGCATTAATATAATATAATATAATATAATATAATATAATATAATATTGTAACACAGTTCGCAGTCACGGGAAGGAGGAGGCGGGAACCGGCGAACATTCAAACAAAACTTTAATAATAAAATAAACACAAAATAAAATCCAGGCCTGGTCCTCTCTCGTCTTTCCCTGTCATCACTCCTCCTTTGTATCCTTCCGGAGCTCCACCGTGAGACTTGAGACCAGTGAGTGGCGCAGGTGTCGATATAATATAATATAATATAATATAATATAATATAATATAATATAATATAATATAATATTAATTATATATTATATATATAAAACTGAAACCAAAAGAATGACAATGCATGATGAACATTCAAATTGATGTACAATATTATTGAGTATAGGCTTTGAATTTTTATTTTTAAATTGTTTGATACTAGGGCTTGCAAAAGTTGTGGTTAAAAACAAGTGTAAAATCCATACACTACTAAAATGAATGTCCAAAAATCCAGTTCTAAACTATGCTTTGATCAAGCAAAAATAAATAAATCTTTTTTTTCCCAATTTTTTTTTTACATAATGACAAATTCAAATGAATCTCTTTAATACAGCTGTAGTATTAAACAAATAAAATTAATTGTGCATATAAATGGGACAAATACATCAAATACGAGATTTGATGTGCGGTTGAGTAAATAATGACATTATCAATTATGGGTGAACTATTCCTTTAATAACTTGTCATTAAAGGAACTGCTTAGCCTTTATGTCTAGAATTTGCAGACAGAATTGATTTAAAAAATGTTAAATTGAAACAAAAAAGTGAATTAGTAGCTTGTAATTTCCTTTGGAGACCTGAATTACAAATCTATATGTGCGGCAGGAAATGAACCAAGGAAAAGCCGCTTTTCAACAGCAGTAGTACATCATGTTATATGATTTGAATTAAAATAGTGGTGATATCTGAATAAGGAGGGAGTTGAACGTCAATGAACTGGAGGTGTGTTGACATTTCTATTAGTTTGAACTCATCCGCATGCTAAAGGCAGCCAAGCAGGGATTTCTGCAAGACAGCCGCAGGCGTGTTATTGTGCTGCGAGAGGAGCCGTCAATCAAGACCATAGCAGTCACTCATGATGGGAAGGGTGGTGACACATTTAAAATGAAGAGTCACACTGAACATATTATGGAACTTGAAATGTCATCACTCATTTCTGTCAATGGCTCTACGGTTGGCTGACCCGCAGCAGGGTTAACAGCCGATGAAAATCTCCAAAGATTCTGAAACAAGCTTTTAAAATGGTTTGATATTGTTTTATGATTTTCCATGCATTGATTTATGATTCTAATTCAATAAAAAGCTCCAAAATGCCCAAATATCCAGACTGTATATAATATAATTCAAAATAAAATGTAAAATCTGAAAATAAACATTTTCAATGTATTTTAAGAAATATTTCAAATTCAACACTATTCATAGATCACTTTAATTTGCTTAATTTAATGTAAATGTATAATGACTTAGATATGAATAATAATAATATTGTTTAAAATATATAACAAGCATAAATGAGAATTCAAATTCACAAATTGAAATTTAAATATTCACAAACTGAAATCGTATAATATATAATATAATAAAATATAATATACAATGCATAACTTGCACGTTAATGCAAATTAAAATTCCTAACCATAATAATAATAATGTTTAAATATATAATATATAACTTGTGCATAAATGAGAATTCAAATTCTTAATCCCTAACCCAAATTGTAATAATAATAATAATAATAATAATAATACGACATAAGAAAAATGCTAATTAGAAACACATTCAGTGGCTTCTGAGCCCAAAGGTGTATATTTGAAATAACTTTTTTTTGTTTTTGTTTTGTCAAATGTTTTTTAGTGAAAACAGGTTACATGCGAACACACACACACATATTTTTCTTTGACTAATAAGTGAAAAGCTATCACATAATTATTGCAACCTCTGAGAGATGAGATGAATCATTTCCTGTGGACATTCTGCCAACAACATGTTCCTCATTTTTCCCCAGAAGTCTTCAGGTCAGCAAAAACAGGAACAAAATCACTCTATTAAGATGAAGAGTTAGGCAAACATGCCGCCGTTGTAAAGAGCCCAAGCACAAGTGTCTGATTTTTTAAAGCGTAATGAGGTCATTTTCAGTACAAACCACGTCCCTGTTGTGCTCTTAAGCTGCATAGTGGTGCCGTTGCAGTAGGTATTATAGCACATCCTGCTCCCATCAAAATCTCTTACTGCTTCCACACAAGGTCCATATGCACCCCAAGTGCACTTAGAGACACTTCATATAAACTTTATCCTGGCTGTCTGCAATTAAGAGCAGTACACTCGTAACTTTCACGCCAGGCTGCAACGACTAAACCCCAGAGATGCTGACAGTTTTAAAAAAACCTCTTTGAAATATTCCTCAAGAGTGGATTAATGTCTACATGAAATCAAAATTCACCCCATTTACATTCTCAATTCACATTCCTTATTATGCATGCATTATCAGCCACATTATTCCAAAGAAAAACTAACAGCACATTCGCTGTGAGAAATACTGCAAGCGGAGTGATACAAATGGTGAAACGGTTGGAGTGCAGTTATCACTAGAATATCACACCAAGGCAAGGCAAGGCAAGTTTATCTGTATAGCACATTTCATACACAATGGTAATTCAAAGTGCTTTACATAAAATAAAATAAAAACAATAATCACAACAATAAAACAAGGAATTTAAAAACTTTGAAAATATCTTCTTTTTGATATTGTGGTCGAATATGTCTAACCTCTGCATAACTTGGGGATGTGCTAATCGCCTTCCTGATATTATTGATCTTCTCAGAAAAGAAGGAAGCAAACTCATTGCATTTGCATTTTGGTTTGAGAAGAATGACTGTCTAGCTTTGCCTAGTTCCACATTGAAAGTACGAAGGCTGTCTTTATATACAGTATGCTATAGTGTATTTCAAGTTTCGTCTTCCGCCACATCCGCTCACACCACCCATATACATATATATATATATATATGGGTTCCAGTACAATGGTAAGGCACTTACAATGGAAGTGAAAATTTGTGGAAGACACATATTTCAATAATACAAAAAATTGCAGTAAAATAAAAAAAAATGCATCGATATGCATCTGATTTAAGTGTGGTAAATTCACTTTCTAATCCTTTCTGTTATATAGTTTTCTGTTAAGATACAAAAACATTTAAGAATAATGTTGATCACCACAAAAATGTATTTCCACTTGTCCCTCCTTTTCTTTAACAATAAATAACTAAATAGATAAATAAATAAAAAAGAATACAATGGAAGTAAATGGAATATTCAAATATGCACCATTGCAATAGTCGCAAACCGTAAAAAAACAAAAAAAAAATCAATATGCATTTGATTTAAGTGTGAGAAAATCACTGTAAAGTTATACCAAATGTGATCTTCATCGCCATAACGTAACAGTATAAACCATAAAATGGCTATAATATACACATATAAATAATACACAAGGTTTGACAGAAAATGGATGTAAGTGCTTTTATAAATTAAAAGCTTCACGTTTTAGTTTTTAAATCCTCCAAAATTGTCCCCTTGTACTTCCAGTGTAAATGGCTCACTGTAACCTCCAGATTTTTTTTAAGAAAACGAGAAATTTGTCTCAAATGCTGTCATTTGAGCTTAATTGGTAATCTGTAAATCCTGTTGATGTAGGTATGGAGGTGCAATGCTTTGTGTTTACTGCTGCAGAAGGCAAAGATGTTCGTCCTTTGATTAATAGGCATCACTGCAGCTGGTTATTAGGTTATTTTTGGCTGTTATTTCTTTAAGAGCTGTCGCTGCTGAACGTGACGCGGATCTGACACGACCACAACCACAACATTGCATGCACGTAGTTCATTTTGCGCTTTGATATGAAAGGACACAGGCTACAGCGCGCCGGCGCCTTTGTGCATGCAATTGAAGAGCATGCGCTTTAATTATTATTTTATAATTTTTTGCATTAATTATTATTGACTTATAGCCTCTTAAAGTTCTTTTATTATTCCTCTCTACCAACATAAGTGGGTAAAAAAATGTGGACGTGCTCTGAGCCTGTTTTGTTCTATTAAATTAAATAATGAGTACGTTTCTGGATTATAGAGTATTCAGTCTTTTTTTTTTACGTACACTACCAGAATGAAAATCTATTTTGTATTTTTACATTAACAATATAATTAATAGGCTTTTCTATTTATTAAAACCAAGTATACATCTAATCAGTTTAGTGTTTTTAAGCATTTTACAAATAATAACTCAATGCAGTAACCATTTAAACAATATATTTTATTTAAACAATTATATATTTTATTTATGAACTGATGTTCAGCTGTTCTTATTGCAAAACTTAAAGTCTGTGTAAAGCAATATTAAATATGTGTTCTGAGTTTGTCACACCACAGAAAAATGTGTTATTAACCACCCAGCCAAATTTGAATGAAAAAAAAGCAGCAAGTAAATAAAATAAGTTATTTACTGGATATTACAAAAGTAACATCTTTTGAGGGCATCTCACAAAGCAAAAGTTTTTCAGTGACTGTCCAATACAATATTTCTATATAAAAGTATAATGTGATATGAGGTACGTGGGCATATTAGGGTCACACCTAACCAAAAATTAGTAATATCTCACTGTAAAAGTCACGCATTTACACTACAGAGTAGTCATTAAGCACCATGTTATGGCAAGACGATGGGGCACAGACATGGAAATAAAGAAACGCATTTGCAGTATTTGAAGAGTGCATGTAGGGCAGAAGAGGAAGGAAGCACTTTGGTTTGGCGGTGCCATTTCAGCAGGGACGGGATTGTGAAGTCATTGATTTATGACTGAATCAGGGGCCCTATTATTGAAGTTATGTGAGAACAGGAAGTCGCTTGTGTCAGACTCCTGTCACACGCAGAACCTGCTCTTCAATCACATTTTAGGAGGGAGAATGAATCAGTGGAATTTACGCACACATCGTTCGCTCTGTCAAAATTACGACGCTGGATTGTACAGAGCACGATCTGTGCGTGCGTGTGTTGAAGGCGCCGCTCACGTCTTCCTCCAGAGCAAATCTCAAAACACTCACGTAGTCCCTGTTGTCTGGCTCCTCATTCTCCTCATCTTCGTCACTGTCATCTCCAAAACTGCCATCTTTCAATAAGGAAGAAAGAAAGATAAACAACATGCAAGACTAAGACGTAAATGTCAAGATGAGCAAAATATGGCAGCTCATCTGTAGGATCAAACAGTGCTCAAACATTAGCTCTTTCAGCCTCTGATACGCTCACATAAAAACAGACATCTGCCAGACATACTCTGGAATATGTTTGCTTTACCAGAGAGGACAGATATTCATTCATTCATTCATTCATTCATTCATTCATTCACTCATTTATTTATTTCCAATAGATAAAATATAATTTTTTTTCAGTATTATATAATATTTCATACTGTATAAAGTTTATACTATACATTTTATATGTTGTACACATTATATTTTATATACATAGACAGATATATATATATACAGTATACAGTATATAGATAATTTATGGTATTTATAGATATAATTAAATAAATATACATATATAAATAATTTATGGTATTAATTAAATATATAATAATAATAATAATAATAACAACACTTGATTCTTTAAATAAATGAATATTCACTGAAATAACTGAACTGAAATAAATGTAGTCAGACTCTGCTGAATACGCTTCACAGGCTTTCATCAGATATGATGACTGCAGATCAAAACATAACACTAAAATCCCTATAATTTTACAACCATCTCTGCTAAACCAAATGACTGGTTATATAAAAATGTTTTTAAAAAATGGCGTTCAAGGTATTTGATTTGGCGTGACTGCAGAGTAAATTAACCATGTGATAAATTATGACAAGTCATATATTTTAATGTGAGGTTGTGAAGTAATACAACCCAGTTTATGAGCGCTAAGATTGTTAATGGCAACATTGCTAACATGTCAAAACCACGTTTAAGCTTTACAAGATGCTGTTAAAACAGCCATTTTCGTGTTAAAATAGTCAAGCTTTTGCTAGTCTAAGTTGGTTTACCTGATCGCAAAGCACCCCAAAACCCTCTAAAACCATCAAAATAGCCAGTGACCATGCCTGATCTGCATGGTCACCAGCTAAGACCAGCAAACCACCTTAAGATAAAGGCTGGTTTTAGATATTTTTCTTCAACAGGGTTTGAAAACAGTTGTACATGTAACAGACAGATGATACTAAACCACTGCCGTAATCTCTTACATCACCTGAGGGTGTTTTCCTGTGATTTTCACAACTTAAAACTAATCGAAACGAAGTGACAAGGAAGTGCTAGAGCTAGTCCACTCGAATCTGGGCATCTTGAAGATTAACATCATCTTATCTGCTGCCTGACCAGACTGAACAGCAAATAGGCTTAGCGTTATGGATCACTCATGCCACACGCAGCTTTCCGTTTAGAAGTGTCTGACATCAGAAAGCATGCTAACGTTAGCGGTTAGCATGTTAACAGTGCTAAAATCCTGCAGAAACTCCTCGATTAGTAAACATGGTGGGTCGCAGAGCTAGATAGTGGTGGCAACATGCATCATCCCACCGGGTATAACAAGTCAACCGCACTATTCATTACGATAACGGATAATCATTTTGTTCAGTCTGATATCGGCTTTCCCAGCTCTCATCCTTGTTCAAGATAAAAGCAATGGGACACTCATTAGTGAGAACAGCCCAGCAGGAAAACTCCCGCGTGGTGACTGGATCTATAAGTATCAATAATCTAGACTCTTGTGCATCGGTTTAGGAGGAAAGGAGTATTATTGAAGCACACGAGGTTGTGATGTGTGGTAAGTACATACAGATGTGCACGCTAACACGCTTCACTATGCGGTATTGAGTCAAGCACCCACGGTGTCATTGGGCAGGGTTGCCTGGGCAACCACCTCAGAGCTCCCTGCAAAACAAGTGAGTATAGACTATTGTGGGTCAGAGAAATCTGCTGCTCTCTGGCCAAGCATGTCTTCCGTTTTTTGTTTTCCTTCGCTCTTGTTTACTGCTGCACAGGTTCTGACTTTGTTCAAAGAGAACATTTGCATATGATGACCTAGTCAAAAAAGAAACATGCTGTATAGCAGTATTGCACATAAATTAACTACCGTGCAACCCTCTTTTAGCAGACATAAGACTGTTCGGAAAAACGCATCAAAATGGCCTCTAAATCTTGTTTAAGAACAACTGATTTCTCACAGTGCCTGCTTTCACAAGTACCGGTATTGACATTTGCTTCACAGCACAGGTCTGAACAATCATAGCTGTTTCAGGGAGCTTGTATGGCTATGAACTGAAATAAGCAATGTGCATTTTTGTTATAAAATTACATAATTCTACTATATATATATATATATATATATACACAATACATATATATATATACAAACCCAATTCCAAAAAAGTTGGGACACTGTAAGTTATACTGTCATGTTTTCTCCCTTTCTTTCCAAACTGTGACAAACGCCAGTCTCACTTTTCTGCAGAATGTGATATATCCGCTCAACCAATCACAGCTCACCATTCCACGCACTGTAAACATTAATAGCGGCGCTTTGAATACACCCGGCTTCCTAGCTTTCCTCATCTACTTTGTACTTTGTGATCAACAAACAAACTTAGGGCTGCATGATAAATCGCATGTGATTGTCATGCACATCTCGTCAGTATAGCCGGTTCTGCGATTAATAGTAAATCTCCATCACGTGCTTTCAGATGGAGCGGCATTTAATACACAGAGCCATAGATCACTGCTATATCGCGTTCATAATTGCAGATGAGTTGCATTCGATTATGAACGTGATATTGCGTAGCTTGTCAGTGTAAGTGTTTTTATTCATGCAATTAATGTTTTTGTTAATACAACGTATAGCACTAGTCAACTAAATGAATGTAACATGGCAAAGATGAATACACTTACATTCACAAGTTGAATGTAAGGGAAATGTCATTTTGGAATTTCTGTGGTTTAATGTGATATTGTTGTTCATGTATGTTCATGATGAAATTTTATTTTATTGTTGTAATTAATTTATAGCATTAACAAGATGACCCGTTGAATTCATTTTGGGAGCGATGACTGATTGAATGTATTTTTAGTCCAGTGCCTGTATATAAGATTAGCATTGACCAAGTTCAGAGGCTGTCATTTTGTGGATCAACTAAGTAAGTTGTGTATTTTCAACAGTTTCAATATGAAAAATTACTTTTATATTGATTCAATGCATTTATTGCATTTTGAGGAAAAAAAAGTGTCATGGATTTATTGCATTTTGGGATTTTATAAAAATCTTTGAAAACCAAAATCTGGATTTGAATTGTTAATGTTATTATAACCTAAAGATGCTATGTGAAAGTTTGAAACAGAAAATAGTGGTTTTCATCTTGCCACTTTCTTGGTAAAGAAAACACATTTTTAGTCAAATTAATCTAAATGGATTTATAGCGTTTTGGAACAAAACTCTTCATATATATATATATATATATATACAGACTCAGCGACCCTAACGGACACACTGTGAGAGGAGAATAATAGTAACTGTTGGGTGTTTGGCAGTGTAATAAAGAACCTGGCTTAAAAACCTAGGGAACATAAACCTTACCGTAAAGTCCTAAATCAGCATCCCAGTCATCGACAGGCCTCCCAGGAAGAGGAAAGCTGAAGGCACTCTTATCTGAGGTCAGTGGAAGAGGGACTTTGGGATTGCACTTCCTCATCAGCTGGATCGCCGGTTCCACCAGCAATTCAAGGCCTTTCATGGTCAAGCAGGTCTTCAGATGAAATGCAATCGGTTATAAATACTTAAAGGCGCTACATGTGATTTCCAAGTGACATTTCCTCTGGGCAAAATATGCATCAGAAGAAAAAAATAGCTTCTTTACAGCACATTAGCAGACAGAGCATGGTAATGTCTAGTGTCGGTTTACTTGGCAAGTAAAGCACAGTATGATTCAAAAGGCAAAAATGAAAGCATCAGGAACAGAGAAATGTAATTACAGACAGTAGTAAAAAAAAAAAAAGTACCAAAGTACAAAAAAATACCATGATATGACAAATAACGAGAACTTTGGGACCAAATAGTGGGCCAAAATATCACCTGAGTGGTCTGGAAGAGAAGACTAATGCCACCTTCAGCGACCAGGGCATCTCTGCCGACAGCTGATTTGGCGGCACATTGCAGACAATGAAGTAGGGCTCTAAGGATAGGAATGTTTGTAAGGTTGACGTCATTGTTGTGCCAGTCTTCGTACAGCTTCAGAAGATCTGCGATGTAGCCTTTCGCGATGGCAGTCCGACAGTTGACCTCTGCAGAAGAACAAGAAGAGAACATTCAATATCTTTATAATAGAGGAAAAAGTTGTTGTTTTTTTACCCAGAAACATAAAGATTCTCCCTAAAGCAGTAAAAATGTGGTCACATTTAGCATTAATTTGCACATTTTCGCAGATGAAATCCATACACGTGATTAGGAATTTTGTGTGAGGCCGAAAAATTTCGCCAAAAATTTGCTAATGAAACCTCACCTTAAGAATTGATTCAAGCCAGATCAAAGTTTACTGAAAAACAGCTGATTTGATATTTACTGTTCAGCTTAACCAACAGCCTAAAAATTTAATGTTTCATCAGAGAACACGTCTTGCAGACAGAAGCTACTACAACTGTAGCTTTCCGAGCTAAATGTTAATCGTAATAACAGTAGTTAGCTACACTACAAGCTGTTAACAAACAAACCATCAAAACAAACTGATTCACAGTATTACAATCCCAGATAGCACAGGTACGTCTGCAAGATGTCTGTTAAAGATCGCTTCATCTAGAAATCATCTGCCGTGTACAAACATCTGATAGACGAGTTTAAGATGTCAGTTTTAGATACATTCTAAATCATAAACATCTTATAGACATTTTCTAAACATCTATTTGACATCTGATAGGAAACGTCCTATAGACGTATTGCAGATGAGCAAACACTCATAAAAAATATGTCTTGCAGATGTAAATGAAGTACACCGGTACTTCATGGAAAATGTTTTATTACTTCTGACTTGGTATTTATAGAAATGAAATAACAATTGAGATGTTCAGTCTGACCAACAACCTGAAATGTTTTGTCAGAATATGCTTATCAGACAACTGTCCTAGATAGCACACATACGTCTGCAAGATGTCTGTTAAAGGTCTCTTGATCTGGAAAGCATCTGCAGTCAACAAACGTCTGACAGATGTCTTTCAGATGTCAGTTTTACATACATTCTAAATCATAAACATCTTAAAGACATCTAATAGACGTCTATTTGACATCTAAAAGGAAACGGCCTATAGACATATTGCAGATGAGCAAACTCTCTAAAAAATACGTCTTGCAGATGTCTGCAGTCAACAAACGTCTGACAGATGTCTTTCAGATGTCAGTTTTACATACATTCTAAATCATAAACATCTTAAAGACATCTAATAGACGTCTATTTGACATCTAAAAGGAAACGGCCTATAGACATATTGCAGATGAGCAAACTCTCTAAAAAATACGTCTTGCAGATGTAAATACAGACGTCAAATAGATGTCTCCGAGATGTACGTGTGCTATCAGGGTAGCTTACCAAGCTAAATGCTAATCATATTAAAAGCAGCTAGCAACACTACAAACTGCTAACAGCTAAAGCAAACTAAATCATTAAGGTTTGAACCAGTTGAATAAAACCACCTGAACAAACTGATTAAACTTGCTAAAACAAATTGGACAATGTTAAATATGGTAAATATAGGAGCATGTTTATCTTGTGCTACACTTCTTGTTGGAAAAAAATCTATGTGTTACTATCCTAACAGTAATGGTAACGTTAAAGAAATTACTCTACTTTTGTTTATTACCACTGCTGGCAGAATATGCATCTAAAAAAAACAACCTTGCTCATGCACAATAGCATTATTATTTGTCTGGGTCTTAATGTACCAAAAAAGATGCATATCATTCATCATCATTCCTTCCAAGTCCTTTGTCCAGAAGGCTCCTGAATAATCAAAGTCTAAGAGGCTGACATCCATTTAACAAAGTACACCGTGTCCATTTGAATACACGCCAGATTTGTTTTTGAGGAGAAGCTTTTTTTTTTGCTACCTAGCAAGTTAGAAACAGGCTAATATTTATTGGAAGCATCTGTATGTATCATTCATATTCAAATTGACCTCTCTTTTGCTCTCACTTTCTCATGTCACACTCTGTTGTGCTGTTTATTAATAAAATGTAATAAGAACATACATCATTCGGGCACTAAAGAGCCATATCAACAGAATGCAATAACACCGGGATGATGGAGAGGGAACAAAAAAGCATGTGACTCTGCCTGTCAGAGCGAAAAGATTTCTCAGTATGGCACAAAAGGTTAAATGAGATCAAAAACAAGATGGACTTAAAACTTCATTTCCGTTCTTTAAGCCAGTGACAGGTCTGGTGCCTGAGTTAAGCGCAGTTATGTCTCATAGCACCCCTTATTCTCCATGTCAGCAATCAGTATATCATGAACAAGAATACGGCCAGCTAGGGACTTGTTCTACTAAATATTAGGACACTGATGACTCGATTACTTGAAATGCAATTACGAGGTCACACACAATGTAGCTAGTATCAATAACGTCGCTGTGTAACATGCATCATACATCTTTATTGTAGCTGTTAAATGTACAGTGGCATTATGAAATATGAGTTTGGCCTTTATTTTTTATTAAGAAAAACAATACATCTATAATGACATTCACACATAAATATAAAATATGTATAGACTAGTGAAGTGAACTAGCAAGCAGATTGAGTCTAACATGTGTTACTCATCTTACTGTGACAATTAGGTTTCCTTTTTAAATGTACAATATTTACTGTCAATTCTAACTGAGAATACTGAATGAGAAGCAATAAAACACCAGGACGCAATTCTTTGTTAATGCCAAGAATCTGTATCTTAGCAACCCAATTAACTTCTGATATTTTAAGGGGTCATATGATGTGATTTCAAGTTTTCCTTTCTCTTTGGAGTGTTACAAGCTGATTGTGCATAGATAAGATCCCTGAAGTTGCAAAGACTAAAGTCTCAAAACCAAAGAGATATTCTTTATCAAAGTTAAGACTCTGCCACGCCCCCTAAAACGTCTCGTCCTAACACACCCACACATATCTACCTCACTATGTGGAAATATTTGCATAATGCGGCCCAAATGTTCACGCAAAGAAAGAAGGCGTGGTTTCAGTAACCGCAGTTAGTGTTGAAGCAGCATGTCAGGGAGACGCTGTGCGTTTCTAGGCGAAAGCAAAAGCACTTTATTTGGCCTTCTGAAAGTAGATGCATTTAGGAATCTTTAAGATTACTTACAACAGAACAGTGATGCATTTTATGGACGACCGTTTCGTGAACCGAGTAGAGGAGGTAATTCTGACTTTGCTATGACAATCTGGCGCTTCTGAATCAGCTACTGTTTTGTTATTAGTTTAAGTATTTGCTATTGACTGTTCAAATGCGAAGTTTTGCGCATCGTGTGTGAGAGAGAGAGAATGAGAGAGAGAGGGGGTCACATCACAAACACATACCAGCTTCATCACTGTGTCTGTCACGCGACTCTGCTCCCCTTTCGGGCTCTGTCTTTACATTTACTTTGAAAGCTGAAGCTAGCGATTATGGTAAGGGGCGTTACATTGCCGACGAGTTCTTGCGGTGTTCGGCCAATCACAATGCACTGGGTCAGTATCAAAATGGCCATTTTACTATAAACTCAAGCTGTCCACTACGAATTCAAAAAGCGACCTCATTTAATCACCGCTTTAGATGAACCAAAAAAAAGGGTTACATCATTGCTGTGCTTAGTATTCAATGTTTTAAATGAATGAACGCTGAATTCAGAGCTGATTGGAGTTGTTGTTTTTTTTCTTTACGACTTTATTATTTTAAAACCTTGTTTGTTTGTTGTCTGCTAGGGTTTGGCATTAGCATGTTGCTAACCTAACAAGGCAATACTGGAATAAGTATAGAAATACATAGATTACACAAATTAATTTTTAATATAAAATAAGTCTCGTTTTGCCAGCCCCTTTGGATGGATTTTTCACAGAGTTTGTTGCTTATTGGATTGCCTTCTATGCCAAAAAATTCAGGCAAAGCTGCCTTATATATAAAAAAAAATAAGTTTAAATATTAAGAGTAAATATAGTATATATAAATATAGTTTAAATAAAGATATACAAATAAACAGTATAAATATAGATATAAAATTAAAAAATGCTAAATAAAAAACGAACAAAAAAGTAAAATATTAAATAATATTAAAATAACATTATAAAAGAACATACAGACTGGAAAATGTTGCAAACACCCATCAACTCTGACTGCAAAAAGCAACAAAAAAAAACCTGTCGCTGGTTTATCTATCAGCAGATAAACATTAACCAAACTGCTTATTCAAATTAACTAAATGTTTGCAGCACTGCACAAAACCTTGAGTCCAATTGGGACCAACTACTTAATTCTTTGTGGTTTCAGAAATTCAATAATAGCATTACAAACAGACAAACAGCTCTTCATAATGCTATTGGTGAAGTGGAAATTGTAGTTCATGTGTACAATTAAATTGAGGTATTTTTGTACCCATGTCTTATGCAAATGTTTTTACAAGTCGACCTCTGGGACCTCACAAACACCTAAAACGGTTGCACAGGAAACAGTTACAATTAAATGGCCATTTGGTATTATTCCAAATGGAAAGTGATGCATTTTAATGCCATTTCAATTCTAGCTCGTTTTGGTTGCATTGTTTCTATCCGTCTGAGCAGAGGATTTGTTTCAGATTCACTGTGTGTCTTCCGCTGATCTCTTTCCAGGACTGAAGTGACATTATTAAATCAATGTTTGAAAGCCCGCCTGCGAATCTGTCAAAAGAATTTCCACTCTCCTTGTTTTAAAATCCTCCAAGCTCAGTATTCAGTTGGTTCCTCCATAAATCTCTCAAGCCAAAGACGCTGAGAGAAGGGGCAGGGGGCTCCATGCGAGGGAGTTCGCTGGACTCTCTGCCCGAAGTCTCCTTGCTTCTGATGAAGGGGTTGGAAAGCGGCCAATCAGTGCGATCAGTGCACATAATGGAAGCCGTAACGGAGTGTTTGTGATATGAAGGTCAGCGGTATTTACTTCCACGAGCGCGCAAAACAATCAGTGATGGAATTACAAAAGGAAATAAGGGAAAAAAGAACATCACTTTCACGTTGTTCTGGGTAGTTCCGAGGCCTGTGTTGTGAATACTTCCTTGGCTTGTATCCCTCCTCAACTCCCAGTATGGGAGTCATGAACTTAAAAACACTGCAGTTCTATGACTTGCACAAATACAGCAATCTGAAATATTAATGTCTGCGATGGTTTCTATCAGACTTGGACTTCTTGAAGGATTTTTTGGTGCTGCTAATGTAGCCAGAGGGTTTCTAGGAGTTTAAAGCAGGATCTGTGAATACAGTGGGATATGATTTCTCAGAATATGGAAATGTCCTGTCATCGTGGACTCCGGAGATTCTGTGTCTTATAATCACTGGTACAAATGTCGCAGTGCATATCTGATGTGTATAAAACATGACAATACTTCTGCAAAGCTCGCTGGAGGAAATATGGCCACGTTAGATGATTATCAAGCTCTTGCCACGTCCTCCGGAGAAATAAAAAGCGCACAGACAACTTAGCTTTGCTAAACCGAGGAGAATTAATTGTGGCATCACTGGCCAGACGTGTTTCTTTTAGAGCAGGCTCCTAAAAGCCCCACAGAGCATTACGTTATTCACAGGCTCACTGACTGCAGAGCTTCAACAGGTGCAGCGGTTCTGTTCTCAATGGGAGAGAGAAAGATGGGACTCACAGAGTCACACTGACCCCTGCAAGACGACAGATGAACTGCAGGTAGCGTGGACTAAAACACACACACACACACACACACACACACACACAGTGTATGTATGTATGTGTATATGTATATATATATATATATATATATATATATATATATATATATACACACACATATACATACATACACACACGGAGAGAATAATAAAAATATATATTTTATTCATTTCATACATAAATAATTTATAACCTGTATGTATGTGTATGTGTTTAAAAGGATTAAAAAAAAATTGCAAAAGTGATACTATATAGTATTTAAAATTATGTATGCACTATATAAAGTAGACAGCAAACCTTAAAATAAATAAAAACACAAATATAAAACCTTTGGAACAGAGCTTTGAACTTACTTGAGCATAACATTGCAGCAAAAGCATCAGCGGCTGCCCTGTGAAACAACAGAAAACACATCTGGCATTACAAAATGTATATGAGGCATTTAATTTCTGCAGTTGCGTCATGCGTGCACCATTCTATCCCCCTCTGAAGACGCATAAAGCTAAGTACCGTGGGCACACATCCAGCTGCACTTAGCATTGGCGGGGTGGTGGAGAGGCTGCCGCCTTGAATATATATATATAAAAAAAAAAAAGATTCCTGTCATTGTGATAATAAGCATTTATTTTGCAGCGACAGGGCTGCTGATTCAGCAGAGTCTCCATATTCCTCTACCCAATACAAACGGGGCAAACGTAGAATAATTATGAATGGATTTGCAACAATCTGCCAATAAATATCGCCACAGGCCTGTCGGATTGACAAAATCTAATGCCTTGAAATATGAGGAGAGAGCAAGCTACGTTTTTGAGCTTCTGAGATGGAAAAGCCGAAAATAAAGATTAAGAAAAAGCTTAATCAAGAACGATAGAACGATAGAACGATAGATAGATAGATAGATAGATAGATAGATAGATAGATAGATAGAAAGAAAGGCCCTCTGCTTTCTACATCTACATCTTTGCCGCATATAATGTTGTGTAAGACCAAATCAAGTGGTGCATTTGAGACTGAGACAAAGAAAGGCTTCACTTCGATTAACCCAACCAATCAAAGCCTAACCCTAAAATCAGAGCTATTATTGGTTATTTTCAGAGCCAGAAGCATGCTCTCCTTGTGCAAATCCCATTTAGCACTGTAGAAGACGTACTATTCTAACATACCTCTCATTTCATTTCATTAATCATTTCATTGTGCGTCTTATTGTACGCTTGGGTCTTTTTCTTCAACTAAAAAAAAAAAATCTTGGTTCTAGGCGTGTGCGGTCTCCTTTGTGCCATCTGCACAAACACTGTTATCAAGCCAATTTCAACTCTCAGCACATCACAATTGGAATCATCTCTGAGAGTTGTTGATAGGGGTCACACTGCAGCTATGGACAGCATTATCGTCGCCGCTGGGATCAAGACAAGACACTGAGCAGATCAATGTCAACACCATGTGTGTTGAAAACACATGCACTGCGAGCAACAGCAATGGGCCTATTATCTACATGGGGGTATTTGACTTTAAATGCTGCCCTTGTCATTCAACTATCAGACTCTGATACTGTTTGCTGACCTAGACTCAGACTCAAATAGTCTGTTCACGGACCATCTGGTGAATGTTCCGCATAAAATAGGCAAATTCTAATCTCATATGAATGGAGAATGTCTGAATTCATGGACTGAATTGTGGTAAATAGATGGACAGGAAGAACGAACGAACAGACAGATAGAGACAGATAAACAGATAGATAGACAGACAGAGAAGCTCGGTTAGGCAATACTTTGTCTCTCTCTCTCTTCGTTTCTCTGGTCACATGGCATGGTAAATCTTGAAAAGCTCATTGACTTACTGCAGTATGTAGCCATACCCCTACAGTGCACAACATTGTTAGGTCTCTATCACAGAGACAATATGTCACTCCCTGTTCACCAACTGCAAGAGAGCACAAACAGCCCAGCGGTGGAGCACACAGGAGCTCGCTGACGCAAAACCGCTATTCTGTCCTCAGGATGGTCAAGCTGCTTTACCCGCAGCCTCTCTGTTTGCGGACATTGGGAGCTCCATAAAGAAATCATATCATATCTCGCCTCTGCCGCTGTCGGAGTCTTTGAGTCATGCTGCTGACATTAATACAAACAGTGGCGTATTGCAATTTCAGAGGCAGGCAAATGCCATTGTTTCCCCACGCTAAAGGCATGTCGCTTCTTTGAAATGACATGCGGTATCAGTCAGTACTACGAGCATCAGTGCGCAGATATTCTGCAGGGATTTGAGCTATGAGGCCGAGCTGTCAGCAGAAAGCCAAAGCAGACAAATTTGACAATATGGAAGATCTGTTGATCTGTTCCGCCTGTGCGCTGAGTATTTTTTTTTTACGTAGATTCGAACTCTTTGCAGCTCACTGTAAAGGCCTCAGAGGCCATTTTTAACCCATGTATGTACTACAGATATATACGCTTTCAAGTGATACTGAAGTGCTGTCAGCGGATGGATGGAACAGCTTATGACATTTATACTCAGATAATAATATTTATAGATTGCTGTATTTGTGCAAGTCATAGAACTGCAGTGTTTTTAAGTTCATGACTCCCATACTGGGAGTTGAGGAGGGATACAAGCCAAGGAAGTATACTTTATATATAAATGACAGTTTACATGATTTTAGCGTGGGCAAAACAGTTCTGCGAAGAGGGATACTGGATCTGAAAGTGCAACTTTCCCAGACTGATTAGCTCATTGAAGTGTTTAAAATGTGAAATGCATAATCGCAAAATATATAAAATGTAAAAATTATATTCTTGCTGTTCTTGCTATACTGATTAGTGAACAGTAAATACTGCATGCTAAAGAGAGCCAAAAGTGACTTTCGCAGAAAAAAAAAAAAAAACTTCATGTGCACACAATCGTTTTGCTTATTTTTTATTAATAGAAATACTAAATTGATAAAATAAGTCAAATAAATATTAATAGGAGTAACAATAACAATAAAAGCATATATAATGATAATAATTAGTAGTAGTAGTACTTCTACTACATTTACTTCGCACAGCCATTGAAGAGGAGTGGACCAACATTCCACAGGCCACAATCAACAACCTGATCAACTCTATGCGAAGGAGATGTGTTGCACTCCGGGGGGGACCCCCCGGAGTGCCAGTGAATCTGCCAGTGAATTCAGCGATCTTATCAGATCTCGAGCTGCCATGTTTCAAACGATCCAAACATAACACACTTCCGCCAATCTATGCCTTGAAGCAATGATTGACGGAGGGTGGGCAGGGTCAGCTCGGAATGCTTTTTCAAATTGAATTTTGCTACAAATATCCCACGGCGTCATGATGAAAATGCAATCCTAAGTGTTCTATCTGTTAGTCTAAATGCATTTAGGACAAATAGCATTTAAATTATAATTTTGCTACCATTTCTGCTTGAACATGTTACACATATCAAATCAATTTTTGTTATACATTTTCATTTTCATTTTGCAACTTATAAAGCATTCAAATGTGCATGCAATTTACATATTAAGACTACTGTTGGAAATGGCAAATGTAAATTATAAAATTTAATTTTCCTTTTACTTTTGCACCAAACTTTGCACGTATGGGGTAATGGAAAATGTCAATTTAAATACAGAAATACATTGCCATTTTGAATACTGCGTTGCCATTTTGAATATTGCATTGCCATTTTGCATATTGCATTTTAAATTGAATTTCGCTACCTATATGCTTCCATAAACTATCCATTTAATATTATTATTATTAACTTGATATATTTATAGACAGAGTGTTATATTTTTGTATTCTAATTATGATAATATAGTTTGTCTAATTATTAATGCATCATAAGTTAAATTACGCTAGGTAGGTAATGGTAATTGCATTTTAATGGTGATATCTTGTGCAATTGAGATCTGCGAAAACTGTAGAAATCACAACTTCTTTATTTTAACCAAACTTTGTGTAGTATTGAGGCGGCATAAAATGTCTGGCAGATAAATTTCCTTCTGCTGGAAATCTGAAACATTAAATACTTTCTGATCTTGAAACTGTTGCAAATATCATCATCTGGCAGATAAAACACTACACACATGCTGTGGGCATCAGACAAGCCTCGTCAGGTAACTGTAGAGAGCCTAGAGAGGGCGCTATACTTGCTTCTGCCAGCTGCTGGAAAACTGGACCGATTCCATATCGTGTTGCTGATAGCTCCCTGCACACATACAGCGGATTACAGCAGAACGCCATCTAATTACAATTCTCGCTCTCCTGTACACTTCCTGTCTTGTGGGAATTCTGGCATGGACGCACTAGAGGAGAAAATATGCATATGCACCAAGCCGACAAATACATGTATCAGATGTGGGTGTAATCCAGTTCTAGTCTTACATTCAATATTGCAGTTTAATTTGACTTTGTCTGCCTCACAGAGCTGTGCTCCTGGAGTTAAGCAGCCAGAGAGGGTCCTTAGGTTATCGCACGGACTTGCAGAGCCATTGATTAGCTCTAGTCTTTAGTTCTGATTTAAGAGCAGCTACACAATCAGGAGGAAGCTCTGGCCACTAATTGGTCAGGCCGTCAATTAGACACTGATACTTCACTTAAACTGTTGGCAGTGAGCAGCAAATTAACAAGAGAATGAGGCGAGATAGTCTGGTCCTTCAGAGACTAGCGCAGACAAGCATACCAGCACACTACTACACACTACTATTTCTGCAACAGGCCTGTATTGTATTTATACTGTGCACAAGTGTGTGACTTGAACTTCTGTTTCCAGTGTTATAAACGAACCAGAACTAATATCAGCAGAAGTCTCTTTCTTGATCCATTATGTAGGCAATTTATAGGCATTTTTACAAAAAAAATTATTAAACATGCTAAATAATTCAGCTAGTTGCTGAACAAACACACACACACACACACACACACACACACCTACAAATCGTGTAGGGAGAAGTGAACACTACATAGGGACCCTCTGAATCGGAATGCAGCTTGGATCAGGGTTTGCTGCTATGTGCAGCATCAGGACACACTCAACAAGTGCTGCACACTTCATGTGGGAATTCATTGCCTGTCACTGCAGGTCAAGCACTGTTTATTCAAGTTAGGCTAGTAACTGCCAATCAGCACCTGGCTAACACATATCTATGCAGTGCACAGTTGCCAGACCCCAGTAAACAAGCATGTTCTGAGCATTTCAATGAGCATGTTTGCTATAACTGAGTTGTATCGTGCATGCAAATTTCCCAGGACAGGATTTGATCAACGGGTTACAATATAAGACACTAATTATACAAGGCCAGCGCACAGAGGACCGCATCTTACGATTGTGTTAGCATTTCTGGTTTGATAATATGTCACACCACATTCGGCGCAGCAAACAAACGCACAACCCCCTACAGTCAGCCTGCTAATTTCAAAGGAACCCACACACTTTCCTTTGTAGATAAAACACATGTGGAGCAATTCTGTGGATTTTACTCCAGAAAAAAACACTTTATAGCAAGGGAAGTAGGATTGCACCTGCAGGTGAGAGAGACTCGCGTTGCGGAGAGACGTAAAAGTCAGACTTCTGACCTTCTGGTGTTGGAAGATTTTGATATCACTGAAAGTCAAATTATGTCTGTACATTTAGTGGATCACACAGATTCCAGGCGATATTGGCATTTAGAATCAGATACTACGTCACAAGAAGTTGAATAAAAATATTTTTAAACAAATAAAATTATAATTATTATAATTATTATTATTATTATTAAGGCTAAAGACACAATATAACTATAAAAATAATAATAATAAAATGATTATTATTTTAGTTCTAAAGTGGGTTTAGCATAACATTATTTTTATTGTTGTTGTTGTTGTTGTTGTTGTTGTTGATGATGATGTTATGAAACAAAAATAATAATAAAATGCAAAAAATTGTGGTAGAGTCCAGAGTTAAGTCTGTAATACATTCACTATTATATTAAATATATTATTATAATAAATTATAATCAGTTTAATATCAAAATAAGAGCAGTCTATGCTGGCATACGTCTTTATTTAGACTAATGCAAGCAAGCGTGTGATTAATGTAATGACCAGCGCTTTCAGCACACAGAACTATTCATACTATCAAGCAAGATCAGCATACGCCAATGACGCACCCACACGATATGTGATACTCACTTGACAGTGTGTAAGTGCTTGGTGGTGTGTGGAGATATAAGCTTGAAGACCACATCCAGCCCTCGGTTCTTCCCCAGCAAGTCAGCTGTGGTCACTAAAACACCAGAGACGGGATTAACACAACAATAAAATGTCTTTGCAACATTGCTGAACCCAACACTACTGAAAAGATTGCATTTCATAGTGCCATATACTGGATCCCCCTTGTCAATCTCGTGCGGGGGTGATCATTCTCCACAAGGATAGACTCAAGGGGGAACTTTAAGAGACCACCGAAGTCCAAACTTCACCCTTATAAACAAGGCATGTGCCCGGATGATATTTCTTCTATTAATACATTGTGCTTGCTACAAGGCTAGCTAGCATCAGAAACACTGACGGTCGCTACAGCGAAATCTCTTCGGCGTCCCAGGGTATGCAGCCTGTACGTCTAGTGTTTCAAAAAATATATATATTTCTACTTTTATGATAAAGCATAAAAGACTTTTGGATGCCTTTTTGGAAAGATAACCGAGAGGTGCATTTCTCACGGTCACAACCTGAGAGCTAAACTTCCTGTGCCGGTATCATTCACAAGATAGCTGTCACATAACTGATAAACAGACCCCACACTATCGACTCTGCATACAGCAAAAAGACGACTGCATTTGAAATAAAAACCAACAAAGGACAATTTGCATTTTATGGCTGCTTACCCGTTATCACATTTTCCATGAAAACAAGCACTGGTGGAATCGCACACAAATAAGAGTAAATCAAAGGTGGAGGCCAACCTCCCCCTGCCCCATGCAGAGCAACAACACAATATATTCTTCTTTAAGTTAGATATGAATACGGTGGGTGCATAAATACAGTAATAATGTAGTTCCAGAGCAAACAGCACACTAAGTGCTAATGCTTGGTTTGCAAATTCACCTGAATGCTTTATAGGTGGAAATGTGTTATGAAAGATAAATAAGAAAATAATCTGTAGAAAATAACTACAGATACCAAGAAATGAACAGATGTGCATCAAAAGAAGCTATGTCATGAGAATTATATTAAACCACAGAGTTACACAGGTAGAAAGTAAAGTTGAAAAATATGAAAATTGGAACTTTTTAGTATGGAATTGGACTGTGAAATGTGAAGCGTTGGGGAGCAACTAGCCAGATAGATATTTATTTTAGATGCTACTGTTTAATGGCTGTTTTCAATTCAGTTACATTACGGTTTAAAAGTTTGGGGCCAGTAATTTCATTTTTTTTTTAAAGAAATTAATACTTTTATTCAGCAAGAATGCATTAAATTGCATCATGGTTTCAACAAAAATATTTGCAGCAAAATATTTTTTAACATTTGTAATAATAATAAAAAAAATTCTTGAGCACCGAATCAGCATATTTGAATGATTTCTGAAGGATCGTGTGACACTGAAGACTGGAATAATGCTGCTGAAAATTTAGCTTTGCATAAAATGTATAAATTACATTTTAAAATGTATTCAAATAGAAACAGTTATTTTAAATTGAAATACCATTTCACAATATTACTGTTTTTATGGTATTTTTTATCAAATAAATGCAGCATCGGTGAGCATAAGAGTCTTCTTTCAAAAACAAAACATCTTACCAAATCTAAACTTCTTAGCAGTTGTGTATATTATAGTTTTTATTTAGTTTGCTTCTCATGATTTATACTAAGATTAATTCATGCAAAATTGTTTGAAAATCAATTCACTGTTCAACTCAATTCACTCAATGTTTTTGTGTCAGAAAAGTGATTTAACTTATTTGACTGTATAACTTATATGAGTATCTCATAGGGCTGGGTAAAAAAAATATTGATATCTCGATATTAATCGATTCTTATTTTTACAGAACGATATCGATTCTTAAATACCAAGAATCGATTAGTCTGGCCTGTTTTCAGTTAATGGACGGAACGTTGAAGGGCACTTCCCATCCAATAAATCGCAATAAGCATTGTGCTTTGGTACTTTCAATATGAAACAAAGTCTCAGATTTCAAATTATTTTCATTGTATTGCAGTATTCAAACAATAAATGCCGTTTTGGCGCTGTTTAATGTGGAGTAAGAGATCGCTGTAGCGCCTCAGTTCAACAGACGCGGCAGCGCGAGGAGCACGTGAAACGATCATCTCCTCCACATTAATACCAGTTTCAGCACAAAATAAACATGACTAAACATCCGAAGGTAAGTTAAAAAAAAGAGTATAACTTTACAAGCCGTATCCTGTCTCATGTAATCGCTCAATCGGTGTTTTAGCCACGCAAAGACGTCAGTATAACGGCTTGTAAACAAACAATGTCACGTAACATCACATTTACCTCAGAAAAACATATTTGGTGACCATAAACTCATTAGTCAGATTGAAAAATAAACTGTAGAGAGGGGCATTTTGCTAAATATGTGTACCATATAACATATTCATTTACCGTTCTTCAATGTTTAATTTATGTTTGAATAAATCCATCAAGTTTTTATGACAGTCACCATTATGTTTATATTTCAAACAAATTAATAATTGAAGTAGAAAAAAACTTTATTTTCAAAACGTCATTAAGTGTAATTTTAACAAATCAGTCAATTTTAACCTTCAATATTATAGTAATGTAGTACCAACTGACTCTCATATATATTTTACAGCATTAGTTGAGAGATGTTTTTTCCTTGAGAAAATTTGGCATGTACTGTACCTGATATATATCCAAAAGAATCAATATTGAATCTAATTGGTAATCGAAAGCTTGTGAATGAGAATCGAATCGAATCGAATCGAATCGTGAAATTTGTGTCAAAACCCAGCCCTAGTATCTCATAGCTTAGGAAGACAAAACTGAACTGATCTGAGACCTGACTCACCAGAGGAGCAGAAGACTCTGAGGACCCAAAGGCAGGCTGTGGCTCTCCGGGCGTTCTCTGTATTCTGCTGCAGCAAACTCAGAACCACCAGAACTGCATCTGCCTTCTGTGCTTTCAGACCAATCTGACGATCTGAGGCAAATAAGAAAATTACGTTTCTCTTTGACATTCATAAAATGTACATTTGTAATGTCTTGTTCTGACAGTGTTTTGCTCACTACAGGGATCTGGGAAGGCAACATTTTTGAGCTGTTGGCAGCTGCGATAAAACAGTTTGCTTTGGTTTGAAGATCAAAACCACATTCACTGGGATGTCTAATAGGGAAATTGGGCTATCAAAGGGACATCATCACTTTCAAAGTCAAGCACTAAATCAGATTAATTCTAAGTGTTTCACAAGCACTGGAGTAATACACGAGACCAACCGTTTAACATTAACAAAATCATAATGTGCAAATTTACACTAATTGTGCAAAATTCCTTAGTAAATAAATCAATAAAATAATAAATAAATAATGCACCAATATTAAAATTCTGGAAGATGCCGAAAAACCAATATTTTTTTCCCATTTTATGTCAGATAACATTTGGATGATATTATAATTCTATAGGAATTTGCCTAAGAAATTAAAATAAAACATTAAAAACTAAAATCCTTTGTTTTAAATGCTACAAGTGAATTAAGGCATCACATTTTAAAATGTACAAAAAAAAATACATTTTGAAAATGACTAAAGATTATATTTAACAGTGTTAATAAATTATTAGTGTTTTTAAAGATTTAAAACTTTAAATAAGGATCGGATTATGACAATCTAAATGTACATGCATGCACTATTAAATATCCATATTATGAAAAAAATAATAATAAATTCCTATAATAATAAATAATAAACCTAATGTGGTATATAGATATACTGTGCATTTATTTAAACAAAAATCTAAAGTTTATCAAAAGTCACTTTTTCAACCCTCTCCTCCAACTACGTCTCATAGAGGCAATTTTTCCACAATCAATTTCCATTAAATAAAATCCAAGAGATTTTTCCTGTGGATTATCAGTCACTTGTCACATTAGGGAAGTCAAATGAGTTGCAAAAGCCACTTCATGTTGCACTCAAAAGTAACTTTATCTCTTACTTGCGGCCTGAAAGCGAATTAATTGCAATTGCATAATCAGTATTACATGTTCTCATTTGGTGTTCCACAAAAGAAAAGTCACACAGATTCAGAACAACAAAACAATGATTAAATGATGATGGTATTTTCACGTTTTGGTGAACTATCCCTTTTAAGATGAGAAAAAGCAGAGTAATGAAAACGCTGTAGGATGTTACAGTATTTCCATACAGTACATCAACTATTTATGGATCTGGAAATCAACGCAGATCATTGCACCACTTGAAAACAGACAATGATCTCCGCTATGTAAATGCAAATGGATTATTGAAAACTCAGTGTGGGGTGGAAAATGCGGTCCGTAAAAACCCACCGCCCAGAGCGTCATGCTACAGAAACCATTCAAACCCTACATCCCGCAGGCCCACCATGACTACAGGCGCTTACAAAAACAGCTTGAGCACAAAAAATTTAAAAAATAAAAAAATCCCACTAGCGAATGAGTTTATGTTCTCAACCGATGGAGTTTGATTTTAGACGTGTTTTGTCTAAATGGAAAAGGTAGACTTGGAGATGAAGGAAAACATGCTCTGCTGTTTGACTCAGCCTGTTGCCGGGGTTCATTGGGACAGACATCAAAGTGCAAGGGTGGAACGCTGACAGACATGAGATCCAGCGAGGGATCAAACTCTCGCTCCTTAAGTTACTCAACATCTAAACACTGACCGTGCTTGTGCTCAAACGGCAACCTCTGACCCCTCAGTATTGAGGGCTTTTACCTGACCCGACAGTGACCCTACACATGCTGTCTGCACCCTCAGACGAGATATGACTTATGGGCGTTCTGCACATTAGAGATGTCTATTTTTGGCGAGGTGTTATTTATAGCAATCCAGCAATGAACTCAGAAATACTCAGCACTAAAGATGATTAAATTATAGATCATAATGAAAAATACGGCTGTTTCCTGCAGTGTGAGCCACTTAAAATGAAGAGCTGAAGAGGAAACGTGAAATTGAATTGGAGTTGAAATAATTTGAGGACACTACACTGTCTCTTAATCAAGTTTCTGGAGCCAGTTATTTAATTTTTTTGGTCCACACCGAAAGCTGAAATGTTGGGCGAAATGACAATCACAGCCAAATCAGAACATATTTCACAATTCAAGGACTATTTCAGCTAAAATGGAAATTATGTCATTACTATTTATGCATCCTCATGTTTTTCTAAACCCATATTCTACTATTTTTTTTAATGGAAATGTTAAATAATATTCAAGTGGATATTTTATGTTATAAGCTGAAATTTATGTCACTATTATTATTATTCATTATTCATTGTGACAGTAAACTGAAAGTATTAATTTTTATGTCACTTTTCAGTGACAAAGCTGAAATAAAACAAATATATTACATACAAATCTTGAAATAATTCAATTAAATATAAGAAATAAAAAAGATGTAATATAAAAAATGAACAGTATTAATATAAATATTTAAAACGAACTGAGATAAGTTGAAGTACTAAAACTAATTAAAAAAAAATTGAAGTAAATAGAAATATTAGATTTAAAATGGTTACATTTTGGAGGTTATATAAATATATTAATTTAAATATTTATGAATTAATATTACATGAATGGTGCCTTGACAACTAATTTGAAATAAGTTGAGGTACTAAAATTATTCAAACTAAAACTGAAAAAAAAAACTAAATAGCAATATTTTAAAAAATAAATGAATAAAAAAAGACAGAAAGATAAAAGGTAAAACTAAATGAAATTAAAATTCGAACTGAAAATAAAAAATCTAATAAAAAAATATTATTTAAATACTATAATTGTATAAAAATAATACTAAAATAATACTGTTATTTGCATTTGAGTTGTTTTGAGTAGCTCGGAGAATCTGTTTACCCGTTTTGGTCCGACTTTATATTAAGTGGCCCTAATACCTAATAGTACTTGCATAGTAACTAGATGTGTACATAGTATGTAACCACAGTGTAAGTACACATTGGTGCATAGTATATACAGCTGTAATGTTTGTGTAACTACACATATGTAACAACCCACTGAATGGTATGTGTAAATACAAATGTGTAACAGGACATTGGTAACAACACTTTTTGGTAATGAAAGTACAAATGTGTAACAGGACTAACAGCACTTTTAGGTAAAGAAAGTGTTACACTTTATATCACGTAAACCATTCCTATGGATTTACCATGTAATTACCCTGACGTTACACAGCAGCGGCCAGTAAGTTAGGCTTTACATATAAATTGTGGTTGGTGTCCAGAATGTTACACTTTATATTAAGTGGACAGTTCCTGGGGAGTTACCATGTAAGTACACTGGTTTTACAGTGGTGCACCAAATTGAGATCCAACTCCTCCCACTTTACATATCCCTAAACCTACCCATCTCCACCCCCTGGATCAAATTGTTCCAATTACTCTTATACATTTTGTTGTTACAAAGAGTAGTTATATATGTCCTGTTACACATTTGTACTTACACAAACCATTCGGAGGGTTGTTACATGTGTGAGATTACAGAAATATTACAGCTCTAGATACTATGTACCAATGTGTACTTACACTGTGGTTATAGACTACGTACATATCTAGTTACTATGTAAGTACACAGGTACTAGGGCCACTTAACAAAGTGGGACCAAAAAAATGTTGCCAATTATTCCTTTGTCTCCTCCCCTTCTCTCCTAGCCCCTCCTCCCCATCACTCACCTCGGTAGCCCACCTTGGCCAGCAGGTGCAGCAGCGGCAGTAGGATGGTGTAGTTGGGCGTGAAGCTGCAGGCTGAGTTCACCAGAGCCGTCAGCAGAGCCTCGCTGCCTCCTTTCGATATCATATGATGAATCCGTCTGTCTGTGCCTACAGGAAACAGCCGCCATCATTTAAAAAAATGTCAAATTTAGGCTGATAACAACTCGTACGACAACCGGTGGTGCCATCTTTGCCACTGGCGTATTATCGCAATATGATGTCTGGGTTTATTTTCGACTTTCTTTCAGAATTTATGAAAATTCGTGCGGATTAGAACTTTGTGCTGGAGGCTGGTGAATAAATTTGGCTAATTACTTTGCAGTGAATTAATTTCAGATTACAAGATTAGTATAGTACTGTTCCACCTCTACAAGAGGATTATTCGATAGATTTGTTGGTTAACAATAGACACGAATAAGGCCAAGATATGGAAATAAATAGCACTGAAACAGCTCACTTCATATAATTAGATCCTGGGAGAAATGTGCATTGACGTCATGTCTCCTTTCACCAGTATTTTCAACACTATTAAGACTGCTTTAAAAGATGTGGTTTTGAAGTTAATGCCTCTGGATTATTGCAGATTTTCATGTCTTTTTTCCCTGTGTTCTCAAGTTCTTTTGACTTTAATCAAGTACATTATTTACATTTGTTCATTTAGCAGATGCTTTTATCCAAAGCGACCTACAAATGAGGAAAAAGTAATTAATTACAGTTTCTTCACACAGAGGCACAAACTGAAACGTGCATGAAAAGTATATGAATGTTTCCTCAGCTACAAGCATTTTTGGCCCTGTGATTGACTTAACCGTATTATCTAGCAGAAATAATATTTTAAAATTATTTTAAAAAGACTTCTTTGTCTTGCTAAACTTAATTTTATACCTAGCATTCTGTACATTATATATACGCACAAGTAAATAATGTTTTTACACATTATGCATGTTTGTATGTTTGGAAATGACAGACAAAAAAAAAGTGCTATTTACCTAAAAAAAAAAAATTATTTTCTTCACTGTACATCTCATCTTTAATCTCAACCGTGCTCTTAAATGATGCTGTTGTCTCCTTAATAACCAAATAATACAATAATTCTGAAAAAAAACTTTACTAGGGGCAAACATGTTGGTTGTGATGGAAATGACACCATGATAATTTTTGTACAATAAATATTAAATTGACCTCTGTTTATTTCACTCTTTGTTTAGATTATCATATTTTAAAATAACAATAACAATAATATATTTTATGATATATTTTCCTGTTTTAAGACTGAAAGTCTTAATGAGACCTAAATCAATCAAACAAAGAAAATATTTCAACAATAATTTAAAGAATGTTTTTAAAAATATATTATATATAACTATTATACAAATAATATAATTAACTAAATATTTTAATATTTCAACAAAAGTTTAAATATATATATATATATATACTGTATATTAACTTAATACAAACCAATACCCAGGACATACAAGTGTCCAAAGTTTAAAATTTTTTAAAAAAGCCTATATATCAGCAAATGTATTCTTGTTGAAGTGGTTAGTGGTTTTATTGGACACACCAAGTTGTTTGACTCCTCATGGTTGATGAAACAAATTTTTGCACACTTGCAATCAGTGCAGAGATGTGACAGAATATGAATTAACACAATTGGCTGTAGAGAAAAGGGCATCTCACCTGCTGACAACAGTTCATCCAGGACATTGAGGATGTTTAGCCTGTTCTCAATGTCTCCAGCATTCTGAAAAGAGAACAGAAAAAGCAGCACACTTAAAAGCTCAACCTGGCCTCTGCATTAAGACTTTCTATAGCATCCACACAAAATTTGGCTCAACATCCAGGAAACAGTCTAAGCAACTCCAATAAAGCATTCACAGATGACATCACTATTTACACCCCATGTGTTATATAAAGTGTTGAGTGCTTCCTGGCTGGCACAGCAAAAACTATCCGATATTGTGTCCGTTTTCAGAACGCAGTGAGGCTGGTACCCCGGCGGGGACCCGGAGCCCCGTGGTTAAAAGCAGCAGCAGTTGACGGGTAGGCGGTCGGGGGCTGTAATCCTCAGAGAAGGAACTTCACAGCTGGGGATTCAAGCTTCAGCTCTCATTATAGGGCAAAAAAGACAGAAAGAGAGAGAGAACACAACATTGTCCTGCCTGCATTTGTGCTGGCTGTGACTTTCTGACAGTAGCCATTGAATCCTATTAGGCATCTCCACAGCCAACTGCACCGCAAAGAGATGTGTCCTGCCAGGGAGCTGTCACTCTTACCCACATTAGTGAACTGACAAAAGAGACCAGTGTCAGCAGAGCAGTCATACATGAACTTTAAAAGTCAACAGGGCTAGTTTCTGTGGGAGTGGATATGTATTGTTTGGGTCTATTATAATAGATGCATTCTGGACAGTGTTATTTACATACTATTATAGAATTTACTAATATTTGTAATTAGCTTTTATTTTCATTTTCATTTCAGTTTAAGTTTTATAATTTTTTATGTCATTTAGTAATGTTTAGGAGTTTGTTTTATATATTTCTACATAGCTTTTATTTATTATTTAGTTTATTTTTACTTTTAGTAATTTTAGTACTTTCAGTTACTTGCACAGGCAATACTTCTAATTTTACGGGTTTTTTTGTTTGTTTGTTTGTTTGTTTTTTTCTTAGCAGTCTTCAAGTTTAAGATTTCATTTTATATTTATTTATTTGCATTTCAATTACTGAAAACGATTTTGGCTCTAGAGATATGTACAGAAAGTGCTGCATGATTTATATTATTTTAGCAAAAATGGCTGCATTTAGATTTACTTTTTGTCTTTACATTTTTTTTTACAAATTTAGGAGATTTTCTGCAAAACTCCAAAGGAAGCACATGTGTAGCATGAATCACTTTTATGACTTTATGGTACTTTTTTCAGAGGCTTTTTTTTTTTTACCTTTATGAGGACATAGTTTTCTAAAAGAACAAAAATGGCAAAATGATTTGCCAAATTATGGCAAAAATCTTAATTAAATCAATGTTTTATGCAAAATATATATAACTATGAAACATAAAATAGAAAAATATGAAATGTTACCAATAAAGAACAAATTAATTCATTGTGAAGACATTTTCAGCCCCCCCAAATTTTATATCTAGGGCTTTTTGTCTCATTCTGTGGTATTTTCGCTCCATATAACCCCATTAATTTCTGACCCTGAAGGTGACTGATTTTAATGAAGAAACTACAACTCACTGAGGATGAACTTTTTTACACTAGAAAAATGGAGCATGTGCTCTTTCTTGGAAATCGATGGCCCCATCATCACCATCTGGGCTAATTCCATGCAACCATGTGAATTACTCAACATTAATGAGTGTGACTACCATAGAGAGCCAGCTGGCACATCATTAGTGCATTATTTGCCCAACAATCTTTTAACAGAATAATTCAGCGATACTTGAATTTATGAATAATTACATCTATTTTGGTCCGGCATCACCTATGCCAAACTACAATCAAAAAGCGTTAATGTTTCCCATTTGCCAATTGGAAGAAGGATGTGCAGTAATATACTCAGGAACTACTTGAAAGTAGACCTAATTTCATATCCCCGTTCGTTTTTAATTCTCTAATGAGGAACATTGATTACCTCTCAGAGCACACCATTAACTTTTAAGAGGGTGGCAGGAATGTGCCAGGACAGCTTTGGCTGGGAGCCGCTCCTTTGAGGCCAAACAATTCTGAATAGCTCAGGAAATCTATTAAAAGTTATCCTGATACACCTTCAAAATGATTTTGTACATCTTAGACACCAAAGGCAGAACCTGGTGTGTCTCTGCAAGGTGATATGAGAGCTATAAAACAGAAAGGGAAAAGCAGAGGAAGAATATAAAAAAAAAACCTCTGATACGGCACCCTGAGCGTCTGTGTCAGTCTCAATTTGAATTAGCGGGAATCCCATTTCAGGCATCAACAGCTTCATGTCAAGGACAGTGAATTTGGAACTTCTACGTTTGATGCCAGTCATGGCTGGAGGAAGGCGACACGCTGGCTGTGGCTAATCGTGAGGGTATTACTAGCTACCCTTGTCAGTTTGCGTTGTAATAAAGGAGTCAATTCTTCAGAGCCGAGGCCATATGGCCAATGCCAAGCAGCAGCAAAGATCCTTATTTGAACTGACAGGACATAAAGAGGTATGTTTTGTTTGTTTTTTTGCCCAAAATGGACAGCTATTTTCTGTCACATTCAAACACGCTTTATGACATGGGATAGGGTATACTAAGTTAGGTAAAGCCAATTGGTTTCATTCGCACCACCAATGAAAATTAGCCTTTGGGCTAATTCATGAATGTTGATTAATGTACACTGTCCCTTTCTGAAATAAATTTAAAAATAAGCAGCCGATGAACATGCTGCTCAACATTCAAATACTTGGCTAGTGCTTGCTAGCAGTTGCGGTGCACTTCAGAAACTCTCCACCTTCCCCAGCTCCACCTGTATAGATCTGCTATGGGGTGATTTTAATGTATGTTATGGGGATTATTTCATATATGTTATATGTGCAGCAGCAGTATTTCCTACATGCTCACAGCAGCATGTCAGTGGATGTATTGGCAGTAGCAAGTCTCAGTACTTGCTCTTCTGCAGCAGGAGCAGCATAGCAGATCTATTCGGCAAAAACCAAACTCTTTAACATTGCCATGTATATTACCATGCTAAACTCTCAGAGAGTTGTCATGACAGAATTATACTAAATATTCAAAATGTCTGTTGTTGAAATTAATAGAAAAAGAAGAATATTGCAGTATTTCCAAAAATATATATTTTCTTAAAACTGTAGTTCAAACTACAGTATAATGGATCAGAATACACGCACACAAAAACTAGTGAGTCATATATTCCTAGTGAGGATTATATGATTAAGAACATTTGCTTTAACAAACACTTGATATGTATTCAAGTTCTCTGTAACTTTAAAGCGGTATACATTTTCCCTCTGGTGAGATCAGAAAGATCTTCCAAACTGCATTTGCTTTTCCCCTTTTCCATACTCTTATCAGCATAGTGGGAAAAAATCTCATCTTATGGTTTTCACTCTCAATTAATCGCTTTGATGCATATACTAAATAATTTCTGCCCTTCTGAGTTTGATTTTCATGCAAGAGGTAGAAAGTTATCGGAAATTCGGCACGTCACCCTCCTGTGAGCATATAAGGCCTCAGCGGTTTATTGGCAGCAACTGATACAGGTGCATCTCAATCAATTAGAATGTCGTGAAAAAGTTAATTTATTTCAGTAATTCAACTCAAATTGTGAAACTCGTGTATTAAATCAATTCAATGCACACAGACTGAAGTAGTTTAAATCTTTGGTTCTTTTAATTGTGATGATTTTGGCTCACATTTAACAAAAACCCACCAATTCGCTATCTCAACAAATTAGAATACTTCATAAGACCAATAAAAAAAAAACATTTTTAGTGAATTGTTGGCCTTTCCTGAAAGTATGTTCATTTACTGTACATGTACTCAATTCTTGGTAGGGGCTCCTTTTTGCTTTAATTACTGCCTCAATTCGGCGTGGCATGGAGGTGATCAGTTTGTGGCACTGCTGAGGGGGTATGGAAGCCCAGGTTTCTTTGACAGTGACCTGTCAGCTGCATTTGTTGGTCTCTTGTTTCTCATTTTCCTCTTGACAATACCCCATAGATTCTCTATGGGGTTCAGGTCTGGTGAGTTTGCTCGCCAGTTAAGCAGACCAACACCATGGTCATTTAACCAACTTGTGGTGCTTTTGGCAGTGTACAAATCACTGATATGAAATCAGTCACCATAAGCTGTGGAAGTGGATTAAAACCACATTTAAATGTACAATTTGGATTCATATGAGACATTTTGTGAGTGCAATAAATCTACTCAAAACAGATATGGAAAAAAGTAAACAAAAAAAGAATGCTTACTGGTCTATGACATATTTTATTTCAAACCAACATTAACTACTGTACTGATGCATAAAGAGTTCTATCCCAAATACCATCAAAATAATGTTTTTATAAAATAATGTTTCATATATATATGAAAAATATGTTTAAAATGATATCAGTATTAATAAACTGTTGTATTTTCTATTTGGAGCAGCTCACCACATGGAGACTGACAAGAAGAAATCTCATTAACTGAAAATTTTTATGGGGATATATTTATCATGGAAGTCTGCATAAGTTGTATTTCTAAATGGCAATGGCAACTAATGCATTTGCGTGATGTTCCCTCTAAACCACTAGGTGTTAGTATAATCCAATACGCATGCAACTTTAACAAAACAAAAGACTAAATCAAAATCTAAATGAACATGCAATGTTTCCCTTGAAAAAAGTTGCTTAGTACACATTATTTAAAATAGCGCTCACGACGATACCGCCAAACAATCTGCAAATACCAGCTAAAATGTCAAGCGTGCATTGCTTTTCCATAGCGCATGTTAACATAAATGTTGTTAAATTCGCCTCAAGGGGGGTAAACACGTTTACATTAACCACATGCTACTTTTTATGGTTCTGAGGGTCCATGTCATTTATCTTTCTCACTCAGCACATGGAAAGTGTCCTGCATGTGTGGGTAGTGTTCCCAGCTTGACGTGTCAAAGAGCGAGAGTGAATCCAGATACATGCGTTCACAAACAATGTGCGTTTACCTGCAATGTGCTGAGGAGGACCTCGAGTCCACTGGAGCTCGGTGCCGCCATGGTGGGCCTCGATAGTGCTGAAGAACGGAAAGAGGAAGGAGAAATGAATGAGCAGTTAAGAGTGACACAGAGGCAGCACCTTCTCCCTCTGTGCTTTAACAAGACAGACGGGTAAAGCCGAGAGGGGTTCAGCTTGTCGCCTGAAACTCTATCTCCCTCAGATAACCCGCGGGCTGCTCCAGTTGTGCACGGACATTGAGATGAGGCTCCTATTAAAAGGGCCTGACGAGACACAGGGATTAAACCAAGCCAAGCATTTCACAGGAGAGAGGACAGGGCCTGGAGGGATATCAAGAGGCTGAGGAATCTTCTCCTAGTGTGTGTGTGTGTGTGTGTGTGTGTGTGTATGTGAGAGAGATAAACAAAAGAGGTGAGCGAGTATGTGTGTACATGCGTGAGAGAGCTAATATAGTCAGGCTGTGCTTACACATGGCCTGGCACTGACATTAAAAAGATGATCTATCCCTGAAAAGAATCTCAACGGAGTAAATTAACTTCATTACTGTGGGATACACACTCACAGCTGTGTTTTTGTTGCATTCCCAACTAACAGGGAACGCTGTCAGAACTTTGGCTAACATTCTGGCAGGGTTCTGTAACACTACTAGAATGTTCATTCAAAGTAAGGTGGTCTTTAATAATGTTCTCAAAAAAAAAAAAAAACGTAATTAGACACTGTTCATGGAACGTCTTTTAATGAAATGTTTAAGTTGCTACTTGTTTCAGGACATTCAGAGAATATTCAAAAAATAATGTTCCTATAATGTTTGCAATGTTTGAAAATGGAACATTCCCTTAAAAAGAAAAAAAAAATTTTATACAATGTTCATGGAACACCTTTTTCTGAAAACATTTTTTAAAGTTACTACTTGTTTTGGAACAATTCGAGGACATTCAAAAGTAAAAATAAAGTTTGTTTCTCTAACATTCCCATTACCAAGTGAAAAAAATAACATTTCGCATTTCGCAAATTCTGATATAAACTCGCAACTGCGAGTTATAAAGTCCAATTGGGACAAAAAAGTCAGCTCACAATTCTGACATTTTCTTACAATTGCGTTTGCAATTGCAATTGAGTTTCTATCACGCAATTCTGACTTTGTAACTCGCAACTGTGAGTTTATATTTAAAAAAGTCAGATTTGTGAAATGTAAAAAAAGTCAGAATTTTAAGATAAAAAGTCGCAATTACCTTTTTTATTTTTTTATTCAGTGGCGGAAATGGGCTTCCAATTATAGTTGCTTTATTGCTTATCTTGTTCTGACTAAAACTTACATTTAGCAGATGATTTTATCCAGTGTGATTTACAGATGAGAAAAATACATGCAGAAGCAAACTGGAATGTCAACAGTTGGCTAGAAGTTCCACAAACTTCAAATGTGGTCAATCTTCTACATGAAAATGTAACTGGCATGTTTGCTTTGCTGTGAAATAAAAGTACATACAAATCCATCAGAAAGAAAAATTACAAATATCTTTCAGAAGATATCTCAGCACAAACTGTTCTCAGATGAACCGATCTATGGAAGTAAAACAAAAAATAAAGTCTAATTGGGACATCGTATCTCACAACAGCAAATTTATTTTTTTTTCACAACCGCAGCGTCATTTTTCATAATTTGTTCATTTATCTGGGTCATGTCATCCACAATTACCGTACACCTATGTCAACAATAGTTTCTTCTGTTTCTATTTGTATTGCTCCGAAGAAAAAAGGAAAGAAAAAACAAGCAAACCAGAGAAATCTAGTCTCCTGAGCAACGAAAGAGCAATATACTTGTGTTATAAGGGCTCACATACAATTAAAGCAAAAAAATAAAAAAAATTGAGAAAACCAATACCTGCAGTTTGCTTCAGTCTAAACAGCAGGTTCAGGTCATAACCTCTTTTTATAGAGATCAGATTCCCAGAGCTCAGATATTATTACAGTACAGTTGCTTGTGTTCGAGTTATGTTACAGCTATAATTTTCCACATGCAGTGCCACTAGTGTCATCAACATATGATGAAGTGCTTTAACATGGAATAAATACGCAAACATGCATTCACACATGAATACACAAGTAGCTGATTGATTTATCCAGAAGATTCATAAGCGTTCACACAAAACACCTTGCAATATATCACGTTAATGGAGCTTTCATATGGACATGTGGTGAAAAGAAGTGAAACCATTTAGGACGGTGTGTGTAATCGATGCCAAGATAGTTTCTGCCTTCAAACTCAAGCAGTAGGAAGGTTTTGCAAGCCATTTGCTGCAGTAAAAATGCGCGTGCACACAGCACTTCCAATATTACACAATGAATGAAAATTCTGTCATGTCATTCAAAACCTGTTTAACTGTATTTTGTGCAATTTGTTTGAAGAATATCCTGGCCACTCGTTTTCATATAATGAAAGTGGGTTGTAAAGTTCCAGATAAGCAAAAGGCACCATAAGGGAATCATAAACGTGGTCCATATGACCCATTTGTAAACTTCTGAAGCCATACGAATATTTTATGTGAGGAACATACAGACAAACATCATTATTTACTGAAAATCTATTAAACTGTAAAAAATGACCGTGAATTTAACGGTAAAAGACTGTAAAAATGCTACAGTAAAAACCTGTTAAATGGTTAACGGTAAATTCCCCTACTATATACAGTGAAAAACTGTATTGGACATTACATGTATTGGACATTAATTTTATGGTAGTATACCTTTTTGGAAGTGAAAATGTCCGTATAATTTACAGTGAATAACCGTTAATTGACATTCAAATTTGATGTTTTTTTGTTGAAATAACTGTTTCTTCTTAAGTTTTTTCTTATCAGTTTTGTATATTAGGGTTGTGTGTTACACCTAATGTTGTTAAATGAATGTTTATTGCATTATTTCAGTTTCATGTGTGTTACCAAGATGGTGTTTGGTGTTTGTGTGAATGACACTGTGCACCTTCTATATATGTTATTATTTGAAAAGCTGCTTGTGATGGGCTTTGGTTCATCATGTGACTTTCTCATCACCACCTGCATTTGGTGGTTATCAGTGTATTACAAAGGTACAAAACAGATTTCAGTACTTCAATAAGGTTGGTATATTAACATTATATCAGTTAATGAAATTACGGTATTTAACTTTAAATTCAAGTTAAAACCGTAAAACCTAAAACGTTGCTACAGTATTTTTTACGGTAAAATTCCGGCAAACACAGCTGCCGTTTTTTTACCGTAAATTTTACGGAATTGTTCTTAGAGTGAGCAGAAGCTGCGATGATTAATTTATAAATGAATAATTCTTTTAAATAGGATCTTTCGAATCGGACGAAATGTCTCAAATCTGGTCTGAATGATTCATTCGTTCTTTAGTCCAACTCACTTACTCAAACGCAGCGTTTAGCAGCAATTTAAAACGTAAAGCTATCGTATAGCTTGAATGTTTTGAATCCTGGCCACTTGTTTCCATATAATTAAAATGGATTGTGAATGACAAGAAAGCACCATAAATGCATTATTAAAACGGCCCATACAACTCATGTATAATCTTCGAGTCATACAACAATTTTAATTTGAGGAACATTCAGTAGTTTACATCATTATTCAATAAACATCTTCTTAACGTTCATGAGAGAAACTAGCAATGAAATTTTTTTTTGCTTTTTTTTTAGTCAAATCGTTTGAATCAGATAAATCAGTTCACAAATCTGGTCTGAATGGCTGTTCTGGTTTTGGAGGTCTAGAGTTCTACTCAAAAGCTATGTTTCCATCACCCTGTTTTTATGCGCATTTTGAAGTATCGCATCAGAAACGAGTAATGTGATGGAAACACCCAATTTCGGGGGGGAAAAAAATCCCACCACTCGCTTGAGGTGGTTTTTGACTTGTGCGAAAAAGGGTTAATGCGAATAATGGGAGATGGAAACGCATTTTGCGAATAAATTCTTCCATGCGCATGAAAAAATCATGTAACTTTGCGCTATGGACGGCATAACCTGACTAACACAGTGGACCGATCTTGTTGCACAGCATCTGAAATGTTGTTATGGTCATTCTTAAATGTCTGGGCTAAGTCAGTTGTCAAAGTACAGGTGCATCTCAATAAATTAGAATGTTGTGGAAAAGTTCATTTATTTCAGTAATTCAACTCAAATTGTGAAACTCGTGTATTAAATAAATTCAATGCACTCAGACTGAAGTAGTTTAAGTCTTTGGTTCTTTTAA